GAAGGTGGCTTAGTGGTAGAGTGCTTGCCTAGCATACATGAAGCCCTGGGTTCGAATCCTCAATACCATATAAACAGAAAAACCTGGAACTGGTGCTGTGGTTGAGTGCTATCCTTGAGCAAAAGAAGCTCAGGGACAGTGTTCAGGCCCTGAGTTCAAGCCCCAGGACTGGAAAACAAAAAACATCAAACACCAAAACAAAACAAACCCTTTACAGGAGGTGGCCAGCCTATAAAGAGGTACCTGCCCCTGGGTCACCTGTCCCTTTCAGGGCCTTCTTGATCACTAGGGAGAGGTGGGAATCATCCTGTCACCCCAGCTGAGGCCATAGACACAGCTGCCCTGCTGTGGGAGCTTCCATTGTGCCAAGCTGGGTCAGTGATGGGCCAGTGCCAGCTCTGAGCGAGAATAAAGAATGAGAGTTGGGATCCCCATGTCCAAAGTCTCTAAGCCCAAGAAGGGGGCTCTGGCACCAGAGGCCCAGGCTCCCTCCACCTTAGAGGGGGCCTTGCGGGCCACTCCCACCTCCATTTACAAAGGTAGCTCCTTTCCTAGTCCCCTCTTCTTTCTCCCCACTACATGCTAATGCTGGGCCTGGAGAATAGTAGGTACTGTTAGGAAAATGGAGGAGAAAGGAAGGAAATAGGCCAGATGCGATCTTCCACAGATGAGGACTGTTTACTGAGATACAGCTTTGAGGGGCACGGCCTTCCCGTGGGCTTGGAGACTGAAAGAGGTGGGACAGGAGTTAATTTTTTGTTGTTGTCGGTGGTGGGGCTTGAACTCTGGGCCTGGGCACACTGTCCCTCAGCTCTTCGGCTCAAGGCAAGTGCTCTACCACTTGAGCCATAGCACCACTTCAGGTTTTCTGGTAGTTTATTGGAGATAAGAGTTTCATGGACTTCCCTGCCCAGGCTGGCTTTGAACCATGATCCTCAGATCTCAGCCTCCTGAGTAGCTAGGATTACAGATGTGAGCCACCAGTGCCCAGCTTAGGAGTTAGGTTTTCATGGGATCTGAGTAAGAAGGCATTGGATAGTGAAAAAGCCATTAGGTCTAGGGAGGTGGAGGGGGCGTGAGATTGAGCCCACAATGGACTGTCTATAGCCAGGCTTAGGTGGATTTACCTGCCTGCAGGAAGCCATCTGCACATATCTGGTGGCTTGCCTTACATTCTATATGCAAAATTGGGTGGGGGGAGGTGTCAGGTATCCATAAACAGCTGGCTGACTAAGTATACCACGAGCAAATGAGAGAGCCAGGGAAGAGTCAACTACTTGCCCATGAAGGGTTAAAGTAACTCCATTTTTGAGGCAGTGGCCATTTGTTGCTTGTTTATCTCATCTAGCAGAGCAACACGTGGTGGTAATCCAAACACCTGGTTGTGTGCCTTTATAAGCCCTGCAAATGCTTAGCTCGGGCTCTCCTCCTAGGCTCCTAGGCTCCGCTGTGTCCGAGTGTAGGTCCAAGCTGCAGCCTGTCTAAATAAAACCTTGCTTTTGCATTTCGGAACATCTGACTCTCAGTGGTCTTCTTGGTGGGGGTCCTGTGATGTGGGCACTACATCCTGAATACCAGGCATTGTATGGAAGACGGGGCAGGGGAGGACCTAAGAATGGATGGGCACGGCGGGCTTAGTGGAAACAGCCTGGTGAGAACGGACATTCAGTTGGAAGTTGGAGGCAAGGCTGAAACCAAAGACTAGCTCCTTCCACTCCCAGCATTACTCCCCAGGCAGCCCAGGCTCTGCCCAGTATCCATCTCACTTTCATTGAAAGCCTCTCCTCCTCCTCCTCCTCCTCCTCCTCCTCCTCCTCCTCCTCCTCCTTTTTCCTCCTTTTTCCTCCTTTTCCTGCTCTTCTCCCCCTTCCCCTTCCTCTTCCTTCCTGTCCTCCTCCCTCCTCTTTTTTGTCTTCCTTTTGGGGAGCCAGTACTGGGACTTTAACTCAGGGACTGAGGTCCCTTAGCATTTTTTGCTCAAGGCTGGCATGCTACCTGTTAGAGTATATTAGACTTTTCCAGAAACCCACACAGACATCCAGGTACAAAGAACAAAGAAAAAAGTTTATTGCCAGTAAAGGGACCAACAAAACCTATATAACCTACTGAGCTAGAAGGGGGTAGGAGGTGGAGACCCCAGTGTGGATGTGAGGCTTCATCATGGTGAACTAGGATTCCGGGCCAGGGGCTTCATCATGGTGAACTAGGATTGATGTCCATGTAGTAGATCAGGGGCCCTGCAGCTGCCCAGACCTGAAGGTCACTCTAAGGGGCTCTTGCTGCCTTCTATGGTGGTAGCTGCCCCAGAGAAGTGCCATCCCAAGGTAAAGGGGGTTGGTGGCTGATTGTTTACTGCCTTTACTACACAGGCCTAGTCTTGCATAGGAAGGGAGCATGCTAAGCTATGGAGAGAGGAAGGCATGTGCTAAGCTATGGGAAGGGAGCTCATTGGCCTAACACTACCACTGGAGCCACACCTCTACTTATGGCTTTTTGGTGATTAATTGGAGATTAGAGTCTCTTGACTTTCCTGTCTGGGCTGGCTTTGAACTATGATCCTCAGTTCTTAGCCTCCTGAGTAGCTAGGCTTACAGGTGTGAGCCATTAGCACCAGGCTTACTGGCTTTCTTCTAGCCAGCTGCTTCCTAATGCACAATGGCAAGTTACCTGGTCAAGAGCTCTGTACTAGAGGTAACAGTACTCAATGTAGGCTGGCTGGGAAGTTTACACAACATGTGCTCATTCTCTCTCTCCCTCTATCTCTCTCTCCTCTGTCTCTGTTTCTCTCTGTGTCTGTCTGTCTGTCTCTGTCTTGGTCTCTCTTTCTCTCTGTCTCTCCTTTCCCTTTCCCTTTATAATTCTTTATCCTGACTCAGCAGGAATAACATCCAGGACTTGGCATGATCCTTGGGGTTCAAACCCTGCAGTGGTAGCCTCTGTTGGAGCTGGGGTAGTGTGGGGTGAGGGTTCTACCTGGGCCTGTTCTGTTCTCTTGGGACTTACACCCCCATCTTAAGCTAAATTGCTTCTCAACTTCTCATTGTTTCCCACACCATGTTGTTCCCTCCTTCAAACAAGATTCCAGTGAGATGCGATTCTGTAAGCCCCATACTAGCTGTCAACAAATATTTGTGGAGCAAATGAGTTTCCAATTACAAGAAAGATGAAACTAGCTGAGTGACAAGAAAAATTAGCTAGATTCCTAGAGGCATTTGAGAATTTCTAAAAGAGAATTGCTGTCAAGGTCTTTTCTTCCAGACTTGTTGGAGGCAAAAGAAAAGACTAAATTTAAGGAGGGCCTGTGACAATAGTTGCAGGCTGAATGTGAAGCAAGACCAAGAAGAAGTTGAGTGTACAGGAGAATCTCTGGGAGGTGTGTATGAGCTGTCTGTTTTCTCTTGTTTCCAGAACAATGCAGCCACCATTGACGTCAATGTAAGTGAAGGAACAAAAGGGCCTTTGGGTGTGTACAGGGTGCAGCTGGGCCTGGCTCTGCTTGGCCTGTGTGTGTGTGTGTGTGTGTGTGTGTGTGAGAGAGAGAGAGAGAGAGAGAGAGAGATTGTGGTGAAGTGTCAAATGTCAGAGAAGTAGGACAAGCCACTTTGTCACTGGGATGTGAACCAATAGATTCCCCAGGGCTTCTATGGGAAGGGTCGTTGAGGTGAACTTGGTGTTTGCCCTGTCCGATCTGAGGGCTTACATGAACATCTTGGCAGGTAGAAGGAAAGACAGTGACTGAGGTATAGGAATTCAGGATGTAGGCTGTCTTTGAATACTAGTGGCTCAGTTTTGTCATCTGCTTCCGGTTCATAACTTTCTCTTCCCTTCCATCTCTGCTCCCCAGACCTACCTAGCGGAGGGATACACTACAAGCCCCAGCTTCTCGGGCAATGCCTCGACACCTTTCAGCCCTTCCAAGCCAATACAGCCTCACCCCTGCTCCCATTAGACTCTAACAGAGCCCACAGGTTGCTCTGTGCCCCTGGGTAGGCCTGGGATTCTACTTTCTCCTCTGACACTTCGGACTGGGGGTTGAGCGCTTAACCTGCTTCCAAACATTAGCTTTGGCCAAAGGGATGCAGAGGTCGGTGCCGTCCCCGGGGATCCACTCACCCTGGGCCTTGGTGGCTGGCCCCTCGGGAACGGCCACTTTCCCCAAAGCCCGCGCCTCTCAAGGGCTTCCTCCTCTTGGCCTGGTTGGTCTGCAGTCATCTCGTTCAACCCCCGTTATTTGATTATTTATTCTGCTGGGGGGGGGGGCCGGGACTACATTCGCTTCTTCCCCATTTCTTTCAGCAGCAATAACTCGATTTCCTAAACAAAAAAATTTCATCCTGCAGGAAAGGCTACGTGGCCGCTGGCTGCCTCGTGGATCTGGGACGCTGGGGGTCACCCAGTGACCGGGGCACCCGGAGCTCCGGCCGCCCCGCCTCGGTCCCCAGCCAGCTCCTGCGCCCAGCGCAGGATGAATGGGAGAGTGAGAAGATGAATGAATGGAAGGAGTGAATGGAGGGCTCTGCGGGAGGCCCCGTGGCCCTGGCTTCGCGCCCTGGGCCCTCCCCGCCGAGGTGGCCGGTACCCGGCTCTAGGCCGCCGCCGGGCATCACCTGCGCGGGACCCAACCCGCAGGTGCCAGCCGCAGGTGTCGGCCCCCCGCCCCGCAGTGGTACGTGCCACTCCACGCTCCGTGAGGCGGCGGCCCCCTGGGCGTCGTGAATGGAAAGCGTCCAGGCCGGAAGTGGAAGAGACCACTCGGGAGGAAGAGAGGGGGAGTGCGAGTGCGCCGCGTCTTCATTGAGGAACCTGGAGAGGTGAACATGGAGTTCCATGTGCATCTTATGTAAAGAGAGCGACAGCCGCCAGCACCAATGGACGCGTAGAACTCGCAGGCCCGGCCCCCCTGATATGCAAATGAGGTGGTTGTGCAGCCAATGGCTGGCGCGGGAGGCGGGCGCACCGCGCACGGTCACGTTTTCCACTATGTGACAGCGGCGGTCGGAGCGGCGGCGACAGCGGCTTTGCGGGAATTCGCGGCTCTCGGCAGTGGCGGGCGCGGGTCGGACGGACCGACGGGCTGACCGGGGGCCGACTCACGGGCGGACGTGGACGCGGTGAGTGGGGCGGCGCGCCGGCCGGCGGCTGCCGGCTCGCCGCTTACGTAACCGGCGGGGCCGGGCGGCCTCGGGAGGGCGGCGGGGGTCCCGCGCCGCCGGCCGCGCTCGACGCCCGCAGGCGGACGGGACGACGTGCGTGTGGACGGCGCGGCTTCAGGCGGACGGGACGACGTGCGTGTGGACGGCGCGGCTTCCCTGCAGGGCCGCGCTGCCCTGCGCCGGGGGTCCGCAGGCCGGGGCAGAGCTCCCCGTAACTCACGGGGGTCCGCAGGCCGGGGCAGAGCTCCCCGCAACTCACGGGGGTCCGCAGGCCGGGGCAGAGCTCCCAGCAACTCACTGCCTGTCCTGCTGTAAACATTTTTTTAAACCAGACTTCCCCTCCGCCCAGGGGGTCATGGGGTCAGGGACTTGGGACTTGGGGAGACCCTGGGGTCACAACAGAGTTCACGCCTGGGGAATTCCATGGATGGGCGCTGGACCAGGAACTTGGCCTGATGAGAAGGTCCCAATGCCAAGCCAGATCTGGGAAGCCTGAGAGCAGGGGACCACCTGATGCCCCCCCACTCCCCCTGCCCCTTGCCCCTTGCCCTTATTTCCTCTCCCAAGCCAGACTGGTAGTTCCATTGAGGGCGAGTCATATCATCCTTTTGGGGGTGTCCTTGGCTGCCTGGCACAGACATGGACCAGGTGGTCGGTAGTGCTGGCTTCTTCCTCCCAGAAGGCCAGGGTAGGCATGACAGCCTGGTTACCAGGGTTTCTGTAACCTCTACAGAGGGAGGCTGTGTGATTCACACTCAGAACAAAGGAGCCATCAAGGCCTACCCTCAGGTGAACTGATGAAGAAGTGCAAGTACTGGGAAAGTATACACCATGGCCAGGCAGGTCTTCTTGGCCCCTGGGTCAGCATGAGCACCAGAGCTGCAGGCGGGGCCTAGGATGGTGCATCCTGAGCTTACTGGATTCCAGGAGGGGCCTCAGCACCTTGGCAGGAATCCCTAGGTGGCACAGCAGGGCCACCGGCCTGGCCTTTGAGAGGCGCACCCTCAAGTTCCTCACCCCAGACTGGGTTTGGCTGAGAAGCGAACAGGATTGTATCTGAAAGTTTTAACTGAAAAAAAATTTTTTAACTATAAGGCCAATCACTTTTTGTAAGTTTTATGTGCATAATGAAGCAAGTGTCTCCTTTTATTTAAGGGGTAGCTATGTGGTGTGCCAATTCAGGGATGGCACTGTCGGTGTTTGCAGTTATCGGTCATTGTCGTCTTGGCGTGATTCATGGGTGCAGAACTGGCACAGTGCTGGCTTTCCGTGGAAGGTAGCTCTACACCAGCCGGCTGTTGCTCTGGGCCTCGGATTAGGCCATCTCCAGGATCTGCTTCAACCCTAGAGTTTATAGTCCCAAACACCTACTCAGAAGGTAGAGAGGTTTCTGGTGCACTCCTACCTTTAGGGTCACATAATGTCACCCTGTAAGGCATGTCTGTGTACTCAGAAGGAAATAGGAAAGATGTGTCACTGTACTGCCTCTCTCAGAACTTTCTGGAAAACACTGGAGCTGTACATGCCTTTTTTAAATGATGATGTAACTTCCCCAGGCCTCCACAGACCACAGGCTCCAGCTCTGGAAAGTCAATGAGTGTCCAGAGTACAGAGAAAGGGAAGAGCTGCTCTCTGGGTGTGGCTTTCACCCGGCACAAACTACACGTTCGGCCGAAGTGACAACACACAACCAGCCGTTTTCAAACTCAGGGCTAATCACTTTTTGATACCTAGCAGCTTTATAGACACCCAGGTGATCTGTCCTCTTGGCACATTGCCATCTGCTCACTCAGGAGATAGCTAGCACGTGTAGCCTGGGGCCTCTGCTGCCTTCGGCCGGGGCCAGCACTGCCCTCTGGAGAGTTGATCCTCATTTCAAGTCTTTCTGCCTATGATGTGAGGTCTCAAGATGCTCACAGTATTTCCAGATCTACAGTACATTAGAAGCAGCAGATGAGCATCGCAGCCACTTGGTCAGAGGCTGGCGCTCCTGGCAGAGTGGGTAGTATAGAAAATTAGAACTGCTTGCTTAAACATTGCATAGAATAACAGCTCTGGCTCATGAAAGGAAAGTGCTAGGCCTCCTAGAGGCCACCTGCATGTGGGACAGCTCTGACCCCGAACACAGAGGCCTGCTCACCATCTTCGCATTATTTTGCCTTTCAGGACTGAAAGGGCTGTGGGAGAGTCCTGGTGAGGTAGAAGCTGTCTCACCCGCCCGCCTCCTTCCCCTCCATGTTTGGACAGCCTGCCACATTTTCCTTGCTTACCCAACCGTCACCATGGAGAGCGTGGCTGTTTATTTAGCAGGACAAACATTTTCTCCGGATTACAGCAGGCAGGCCCCAGGGAGTTGGCTCCTACCAGGAAGTAGAAAACATTTTTAATATTTGGGGTTGTAAAATACCGCAGGGCTTGCAGACGCACTGGGAGGCTGTCTGTTCCCTGTTATGTAAAGTGGAAAACAGGCAGAGTGAGCAGGGCTGTGGGAAGCAGGGCTGGGGGAGACCCTGGAGTGTAGGCTGGTCCCAGGGTGTGTGTGTTTGGGGAAGCACATCAGCTGTGACTATAAGATGTACATTTCTATACTTCCATGTCAGAGAAATGAGCCCCACAAATGACAAAGCCCTTTGCTGATTTTCCCCAGAAGAGGCAGGAGGGAGGAAGGACCTGAGGCTCTCCCATACCAGTGGCTGTGGCGGTTAGAGCTGGGGCCCAAGATGAGCGATCAGTTTCTTCTAAAATTAAAAAAAAACAAAAAAAAAACCTGTTACTGTTGATGAAGGAGAGTGGCTAGCTGTGAAAGTAGAGAGGGCAGGGCAGCGAGTCCAGCTCCCACCAGACAGCCCTTCCCCTGTACCCCTTCCACCAAAGGCCTTGGTTTCATCCCTCACTGTACTCAGTGCTGATCTGCTGAGGCCACCACAGAGGTGGCCAGGTGACCCCCACCTGGGTCTCAATCTGACCCTCACATGTCCTAGATCTGACCATTCTTTGGGGCAAAGCCAGTGGGCAGGCATTTAAAGGGGTGGCGGGACCTCAGAAATGCCCAGGCCTAGCCTTCTCCCTCCCAGCCCCTCTCCCTCCCCACTCCACCTTGGCAGAGCCAGGTTTCCAGGAACTCCTGGCTGCTGCCCAGCGGTTCTGGGTCCTGTCTGAGTGCGGGAGGCAAAGTCTGCTTTTACTGTGGTCAGGTCTGCCAGCTTGGCAGAATGAGGTCGTCCATTAGAGCAGCTGGTGCTAGGCGGCACATTTTCTAGAATGGTGAGGTTTCTGAGGATTTGGCTTACTTTGTTGTTTGGCATGCTAGATGGACCCTCTTAGCAAAAAGGCTCATCTTCCCTCACGGGTAATTTTGTACTCACAGTGAATCCTATTCAAACAGCCTCCTGGAAGCTGGAGCACACAGGGTGCAAACAAGTAACCCCGGGAGCCCCCTGCAGAGGCCCAGGGCCCATATAGAGATTCTGAGCTTTTAGTTCTTTGTATACAAGCCAGACCCAGCTCCCAGGGCGGTGAATGCTCTCCCCTCATGCCCCTCAAATCACTTTGGTGGCCAGTCTGTTTCCTGTCAGGATTACTTCTGATAATGCAAACTGATATTTCTTGGGCACTTGCTACATTCCAGATGTCCTCTAAACCTCCTAGCTTCCAGAAACAGGCAGCACTTGTTTTGTTCTTTTGTTGTTGTTGTTGTTTTTGTGTTTGTTTTTGGTGGGACCTGAACTCTGGGCCTGGGCGCTGTCCCTCAGCTCTTCAGCTCAAGGCTAGCGCTCTACCACTTGAGCCACAGCACCACTTCCATCTTTTTCTGCTTATGTGGTGCTGAGGAATTGAACCCAGGGCCTCAGGCATGCAAGGCAAGCGCTCTACCACTGAGCCACCTTCCCAGCTCTGCACCTGTTCTTATATCACCTTAGGGCCTAAGCTAGGTTATCCATTCCTTTTAAAGAAGAAACACAGCACAGAGAGGTTAAGGAACTCTTCCTGGATGACACAGCCAGGAAACGGTGGGACCCAACTACAGTCTTGGGCCTCCTGGGCCTGTTAAACAGCCACTCTGCCACTGCTCTAATCACCTTTCTTTACTCTCATTACATTAGACAGAACTCCCAGCACAGTGCTCAAGAAGGCCAGAATACTGGACCTGCTAAACTGGAACAATGCTGGCATTTTAGGTTTTCAGAGTTTGGGATATTGGCAAACTCCAGTTCTCCGCACCATAACAAGTAAGTGTCATTGCTGTGGCTCCCTTCACTGAAGCCCTTCCTCTCAGCTCTGTGGACAGGAACTTCTGAGACAAGATGTCTTGTACTGACGTGGCTCTTCCTGTTTGTAGTTGATCTGTTTCTTTGTGCAATGTGAGTGCTGATAGGATTTTCTTTGTTCTTGGAATTTGGTATGATTTTCATTGGGATTTCACTAAGCATCAGACTCTTTCTGTAATTTTGCCAGTGCTCAGGGTTTCTACCTATGGACAGGTTCAAATCTGTCTTCAGTTTCATGTGTATCTTCATTTTGCTTTCTGCTCAGTGCTCTGAGCTTTTCAGAAAGAGCTATTGTCCACAAGCAAAACTGCAGGTTTCCTCCATATCTCTCCCCTCCTTCTTAACTAAGTAGGCCATTTCCTTTCCTTTGCATTAAATAAAACAACTTTGTCAGCTAGGCACGGTGTTCTATGACTGTAATCTCACCACTCAGGAGGGTGAGTCACAAGGATCAAGAGTTAGAGGCCAGCCTGGGCTGTATATAACAAGACTCAAGAATGTCTCAGAGAGAGAGAGACAGAGACAGAGAAAGGGAGGAGGGAGAGGAAGAGAGAGAGGGAAGAAAGGAAGGAAGGAGAGATTAGAGAAAGGAAGAGAAGGAAGGAAATGGAAAGGAAAATAAGCCAAGTCGAGTAAGAGGTATTGGGAATAAAGGTGGAAAATGAACAAAGCAGAGGCAGTGTTTGCTTAGAAAGGACAGCGCGTCTTCCCTAAGAGACTGTTCTGCTCGCTCTGCCAGCGAGGAAGACCTCTGATTTTTCATCTTCCTCTATCACACCTCAGGCCTCATGTCTGCCTCATGTTTGCCTTCTTAGCCAAGTAAGAATTTGGTTCACAACTGAGTGGTCCAGTACAAAATATACACGAGCCAGGCACCAGTGGCTCATGCCTGTCATTCTAGTTACTCAGGACCTGAGTAACTGTGATCTGAAGATCACAGTTCAAAGCCAGCTGGGGCAGGAAAATCCATGAGACTCTTATCCCTAATAAACTAGTCAGAAAAAGCTGAAAATGGCACTGTGGTTTAAGTGGTAGAGTGCTAGCTTTGAGCATAGAGAGGCTCAGCAGTAGAGCTCAGGCCCTGAGTTTAAGCTCCAGGACTTGCAAAAACAAAAACAATAACAAAAATGCATACTTTAGTAACCATCAGTACCCATTTTCTCATTTTACAAGTTGAGACTTTTTTGTGATCTTGAATCCAACACTTAAGTATGGTCAGAACAGCAGAGCAGGATGGCACACACCTGTCATCCCAGCAGGCTATTGAATGAGATTTGGTCTCAAAAAAACAAAAAGCCAGCTGGGCACCAGTGGCTCACGCCTATAATCCTAGCTACTTAGGAGGCTGAGATCTGAGGATCGAGGTTCAAAGCCAGCCCGGGCAAGAAAGTCCGTGAGACTCTTCTTATCTCTGATAAACCACTAGAAAACTGGAAGTGGCGCTGTGGCTCAACTGGTAGAGCGCTCGCCTTGAGCTGAAGAGCTGAGGGACAGCGCCCAGGCCCAGAGTTCAAGCCCCATGACCGATTTAAAAAAAAGCCTTCCTCACACATCTTCCCTCACTGAAGCCATCTTCTCCCCTCTTGGCTCAAGTCTGCCCTTCCTAGTGTTCTGCTAGCGTGCCATTTTCCTCTCAGCCTGCATTACCTCTTTCATCAACTCCATCTTCTGAGGAAAGGCAGGCACTGCTCTGAGTGTGCCTTTTCTGTGTTGTGAAGTTGTGTTGCTGTTCGCCAGCATCATCTTGAGATCTACATTGACTATCTGTTGAGATGGACCAGACAAGGTGTGGTCAGCCTGCTGGTGGCGGTGGTGGTACAACGACTTCTTGCGGGCCCATTTCCACTCATCCAGCCATCAGTGGGCAGGCGTGGAGAGGTGCTGGGTAAAGTCCCTGCTGTGTGGCCTGGTGGGCTTGGGAGGGAAGGAGTGGCCTCTTCCTTAGTGGCCCTGTTGGGGTCCTCAGGCTGTCCAGTGGGCAGCTGTCAGGGGACCCTCATTTTCTCCAGGTTTTTTTTTTCTTCTCAATGTCTGTCCTACCCCACAGACATGCCCCTGCTAGCATGTTCCCAGTGGCTCTGGCCCAGCCGGCTTCCTCAGAGGGATAAGACCTCAGGAACCCTCTCGGCTCCTAGCCACTTCCACCTGAACTAGAGATGACACCACCTGTGCGTGGTAGCAAAGGATTGGGACCCTTTGAGGTTCCCTTTGAGAGAGCTGAGGCTCTCTCTCCCTTGCAGTCTTGTAATCTGCGGCTAGTTCACTGGGTCCTAGAGCAACAGAGGTGCGACAGGAACCCTGTTCCTCCCTGGGAAAGCTCAAGCAAATACCACACAGAGGGGCGATATCATTCTAGGCTAAACTGCCCAAAGAAACCTCTCGGTGGGGCTGAGGGCCCCACCGAAGCCATTCTGGGTGTGGGATGTGGAGTCTCACTCTCTGTCAGGCAGGCCTGTGTGGCTGACCACAGCTCACCCAGCTGGAATCTGTACACAACAGACGCGCTGGTAATAGGATGTGTGTGTGTGTGCGCGCGTGCGTGCGCGTGTGCGCACGCTCCCTCGTCCCTTGGCTTTGCTCTGTTTCCGTGAACACAAGGGTCTCACATGGTCTACCTCTGCTGCTGCCCAGCCTCCAAGTCAGAGTGGGTATGTCCTTCATCCTCTGTGTCCTCTTTGGTTGACAGAGTGAAGGTCAGGAGAAGAGAGAAGTGAGGTGTTGAGTCCCCTGGCCTCTGTGGTCTGCATCCTGGGGCTCCTTCCTCTTCCCTGCCAGCCTCCTCCCAGCCCCCAGATCCCAGGCCTCTAGCCTGATCTGTCCATGTGCCCAGATTTCCTGAGATGCTCCTCTGGGCTTGTTTGGACATCAGCTTTCTGCAGAGTCCCCACTGAATGTCCTGTCCTGGGCCTTCCCTCTCTCCCAGGGACAGGGGATCTCCTGTGCTCGGGCTGGTATCCTCGTTCAGTCTGATCCGTGCCTGCTGCCTCTGCGTGGCCCCTGGGTGATCTCTAGGATCATGGTAGAAGCCCACTGGCTGCTTGATCTCATCCCTTCTCCCTATCTGCCCCAAAGCACCCACACTTCTGTCTCATACAGCCATGGAGACCTGTCCAAGTGGAGACCAGTGTGGCAGCTCTGATGCTCAGACCCACCCGTGGCAAAGCCAGGGCTCCCCTCCCACTCACACCCACCCCAGCCCAGCACTAGAAATGACTAAAGTCCCTGAATCCCCCAACCCTTGCTTGTGCCATGCTGCAAGGCTCCCTGCCCTCAGTTCTTTGAACTTGTATCATGTGATCACTGACCTGCACCAGATGATGGGGCAGATTACAAACACAGCTTCCCAACCCTGCCTCGCATTCAGTGCTGCTCTGGCTTTCCCCAAAGCTGCCCCAGTGCCTTGTCTGCCTGAGGATGAGGCCATCGGGATGGACTGGGCTGAGGCTGCCAGTTCAGCGGACCCAAGACAGATAGGGGCTCAGGTGAAGTAACAGACCTGTCATTTGTGCCAACTGCTGCTGTTTCAGTATGGTGTGTGGAAGAGTCAGTGGACTGCTGTTCCCAGTGCTGCAGTCATCCCTGCTTGCTCCTTCTGGTGTTTGACCATAGGCCTCTCTTCCCAGCTTCATTCCAGAGCCAGAAATGAATGGCTACACAGACTTTCCCCGCAGCCCCAGCAGTCCTGCTGAGGCGTCCAAGGAGACCCAGCCGGGTCAGGCTGCGCTCCAGGAAGATGTGGACATGAGCAGTGGCTCAAGTGGAAATGAAACCAATGGCAACTGCTCCACAGGCCGTGGCTCCCAGGCCAGCGACTGTGAGGACAGTGGGAAGGAGCTGGGGATGTTGGTGGAGGCTCCCGACTCGCATCAGAGGTAGGGGGCGAGCAGCGGCTGTGCGGCAGAGTTGTGGGTGTGCTGTTCACGGGAAATGGATGGCTTTCGCATCTTTGAACCATCATTGACAGGTTGATCAGTACTTGTGTAACTCTTACAGAAAATGTGCTAGAGTCTGTCTTCTTCCAATGATGCCAGTGTCCTCTTTATATGCTGTGTGCCTGATGCCAAAAGACAGACACAGTGCAGCGAGTTCTTTCAAGGCAGGGGGCTGGATAATCCAGCCAGCAGATGCTCATACTAACACGGCAGGTTAGAGAAGATGAACTTGCAAGCCGGGCACTGGTGCTTATGTTTACAATCCTACCCCCTTAGAAGGCTGAGATCTGAAATTTCTGGTTTGAAGCTAGCCTGAGGGGACAAATTCAAGATGTTCTTATCTCCAATTAGCCAGCAAAAAGCTGAAACTGGAGGCATATCTCAAGTGGTAGAGGGTCAGCTGTGAGCAAAAAAGCTAAGCAAGAATGTGAGGCCCACTAGGTGCCAGCGGGTCAGACCTCTAATCCTAGCTACTCAGGAGGCTGAGATCTGAGGATCAAGGGTCAAAGCCAGCCTGTACAGAAAAGTCTGTGAGACTCATTTCCAAATAGCTTCCAATAGTCTGGAAGTAGAGCTGTGGCTCAAGTGTTACAGTGCCAGCCTTGGGCCAAAATGCTAAGAGATGGTGCCCAGGCCCTGAGTTCAAGCCCCAGGACAGGCACACATATACACAAAGTGTGAGGCCCTGAGTCCAAGCCCTAGTACTAATATACACAAAAAAGGAAAATGAGATTGTAACCCCTCTGTACAGTATTTTCACAATAAAAAAACATATAAAAAAAGAAAATGAAAATGCACTTACATTGAGGGAGAGACTTAAGTGGTAGAGTACCTTGTTAGCAAGTAAAAGGCCTCTTATACCTCCCCCCCACCAAAAAAAATAAAAGAATCAACTTGTTCCTTCTGTTTCAGTCATTCATGGATCTGATATTCATTCCTATGTTCCAGTTTTATCTGAGCTTCATCTTCTTCCTCCCTCCCTCCCTCCCGCCCTCCCCCCCACTCTCTTTCTCTTCTTTCTTTCTCTTGTTTTTGTTTGTGGTGCTGAGGATTATACCTAGGGCCTTGGGCATGCTAAGCCTTCTCCCACTGATCTGAATCCTAGCCTGGCCACCCATCTTCTTAAATCTCTTACTGTGGTGCTCCTGGCCTGTTTTCTCTGGCTGGAGGGGGAAGAAGTGGACGGAGCACGTGATGTCTGAGTTTTGCTTGCATCTGTTTCCACAGTCCCAATGCCTTCAGCCTGCTCATGGCGGAGACTGAGCACAACCCGTCTACGTCTACCAGTGGCTGCAGGTGAGCCCCACCACATTCTGTATACAAGTTCTTTCTGGGACTCAGAATACTGGCAGAGGTCAGGTGGAATGGGGTGACTTTTTTGCTGGTCATACAGCCAGGACCATGTGATTGCCAGTACCCTTGCCTTCCACATACACACACACACACACACACACACACACACACACACACACACACACACGAACGCATGTACTCTCTCTCTCTCTCTCTCTCCCTCTCTCTCTCTTTGTGGCTCCTCCCACTGGGAGACACTCCCAGCTCTTTTCCAAGGCAGCCTTGACTGGGTCCTTTCCTCAGTCTTTTGGGGTTTGTAACAAACCTCTTGGGGAGGGCCCTGATGGAATGCCGTCTTCTCCAGCAGCCCTCTCGTCCTGAGAGAGGACACTCCTGGGAACTTTGGTCTCCTGGACAGAGACATGCAGCTATGTCTGCAGACTTGGTTGGTGACCACAGCCAGCAAGGGTGCTGGGTGCAAGGGTGCTGCTGGCCCATCGTGGGTGAGGCCACAGATGCCACTGCACACCCTGCCGCACCCTACGAAGAGCTCCCTACGAGACCACTCAGGACAACTAGGAAACTAACAGTATCGCCTCCTTGAACTCTACAGCAGCGAGCAGTCTTCCAAGGCAGACACACACAAAGAACTGATAAGAACGCTGAGGGAGCTGAAGGTCCACCTCCCTGCAGACAAGAAGGCGAAAGGCAAGGCCAGCACGCTGGCGACCTTGAAGTATGCCCTGAGGAGTGTGAAGCAAGTGAAAGGTATGTCTGCCCCGCCCTTGTTGTACCTGCAGAGACAAGGTTTAGGGCCCCCAAACTCCAGCTTAGGTTGTGTTGACTCTGTAATGCACTCCTGAAATAGCAAAGGCACTGATGGAAACCTGATGTCAGCACATTGGTTGGAAAGTGCAGTTCATTGGAAGTTTTCTTTTAGAGGAGAAGCTACTGGATAAAAGAAATACTTATAGCTGAGTGCCAGTAGCTCATGCCTGTCATCCTAGCTACTCAAGAGGCTGAGATCTAATGATCATGGTTCAAAGCCCAGTCTGTGAGACTCTTATCTCCAATAAACCACCAGGAAATCAGAAGTGGCACTATGTCTCAAGTAGGAGAGCACTAGCCTTGAGCTGAAGAGCTCAGGGACAGTGCCCAGGCCCAGAGTTCAAGCCCCATGACCACCACCACCAACAACAAAAGAAATATTTACTATATAAACCTTTTATGCTCTAGACTGGATCAGGTCATGCTCAGAAAAGTCTACCATCTTAAAAGTTCTGCCGGGAGAGTTGGTATTGTGACAATTGTCACACATTGCTCATGAGTGATGCCAGTTTAGAGTAGAGGTAAAACACAACACTCCCTGGAGTACTAAGTGTGGTGGTACATGCCTATAGTCCTAGGTACTTAGTAGGTAGAACCAGCAAGATCCTGAGTTCTGAGTCTTCCCAGGCAAAGTTAGTAAGGCACTTGGCTCAAGTCATAACAACAATAATTTTTAACTTGCCACAAAAAACCCTCAGAACTTACCTGTGAACTTGTTTCCCACTAACACAATGTGAAAGACACATGAAAGCAGGCAAGGTCAAACCCCAGGACTTCTTAATTCATGAACTCCGGTGACTCAGTTCTTGTTTACCTAAATATGTTTACCTAAAAATCTTTCCTGCCTGGTGGCCACTTCAACCAGGAAGGAGGGAGGCTGGCAGAGAGCTACTTTTCATCATGCATGGGGCCTCCAAAGTGCACATTCTGCTCTTCCTGTGTTTGGACTTCAGAGCAGAAGGCAGAATGTACAAGGGCTGGGGCTGGGGGTTTAGCCCAGCGGAAGGGCACCCGCCCGGCGTTCGCAAGGCCCTGGGTTCGGTCCTCAGCCCTGGGGAAAAAAAAAAAAAAAGGATGTACAAGGCTTTTAGAACTGGCTGCCGAGGGCTTAGATGGGGTTTTCATGTGAGCACGTGTGGACTTTTTCAAACACCAGTTCAGGAATCCACAAGCACAGTGCTAGTCCCAAGAACTGCCCAAGACCCAAGGGGCGTCCTGTTCCCTGCACCCCAGGCTCCTGAGAACCTCATGAGAGCTTGGTCCTTTTCCAGGCAGGTTCCTCATCTCCTGGGGCTCAGTAGGCAACCCTGTCTCCAGGAGAGGGAGGAAATGCTGAGCCCTGGGAGAGGCAGGGCCCTGGCTAGAGGACTGCAGGTGACAGCCTACAGCCCATCTCTGGAGTTCAGACCCAAGACTCCTGGCGGAGTTGTCCAGGCCAGCCTAGTGTTTGTCTGGTAGCCTGTGGTTGGCTGCTCGGCGGCGGCGGAGGGATGTGTGTTTCCTCTGGTGTGTGGGAGTGCACAGCCGGCATGGGGAGGAAGTGTCCACTCGTGCATCTCTGCCCTCCCAGCACTGCGCACTTACGCGTTTCCCTTCTCTTCGCAGCACTAACCATGGAGAGATTCTCTGGCTCATGGCCTCATGATGGGCAGGCAGTCCAGTGTCTCCCTGGGGCCTACTCACGTGATAAGCTCTTGCCTACCAAGTGCGATGCCCGGGGGTCAATTATCAACACCTCAAAGAAAAAAAAGAAAAAGCATGCATCAAAACAGAGTCTAGGCTGTGATGCAGGCAGAGCCGTGGCTCCATTCCGGTGATGGCTGTGAGGCGCACACAGGGAGGCAGCCTTGTCTCCATAGACATGAGGGTGAACCACGCTTCAGTCTTCATGGTCTTCATGCCAGCTTTCATCCAGTGCTGGTCTGTGGGACCCCCAGAGCCAGTGGGAAGGGTGACTGCTGTGCTGGCTCATGCTCATGTGTCTGGTCTGAAGACTCCTCTTTTCTAACCTGCTGTCTGTTTTATGAAGTCTGATATGGTCAAAACAGTGCCCCTACTGCCGAGAGGCCCAGGACACCACATGGGGACCTGGTGCCCCTGGTGCCCTGTCTTATCCGGAGGGCACAGCTCTGAGGCACATGCCTGGAGCAAGCAAATTCACTGAGAGCAGCAGCCAGAGGGAAGTCCATCCAGACTGGCTGGGAGTCTGCCCTTAAGATACTATGTCGGGATGGATGCCAGTGGCTCACATCTGTGATCCTAGCTACTTGGGAGGCTGAAATCTGAGGATTGTGGTTCAAAGCCAGTCCGGGCAGAAAAATCTCCACAAGACTCTGATTTCCAATTAACTACTCAAAAACTGGAAGTGGTGCTGTGGCTCAAAGTGGTAGAGAGATAGCCTTGAGCAAAAGAGCTTAGGGACAGTGCCCAGGCCCTGTGTTCAAGCTCCACAACTGGGGGGGAAAAAAAAAAAGATGTTGGTCAGGGTGTAGCTGCTTGACCTCTGCAGTAGCTTCAGACCCTGGGAGCTCTGTCAATTTGAGAAGTTTACTGTGCTTTCCAGCAGTCTATGGCTTGATCTGAGAGCACACTCAGAAGCCTATGGACTTCTGAAGGTGGAGAAATCAAACCATAGGAGACCCAGTTCTGGGTCCAGAAGTCTCACCACCATGCTGTAGGAGGCACACCCTTGGCAGGAGCCCAGCTCCAACTCCGGGATGTAGCCTCGGGCACCATCCACCTGAGCTCCAGGGCAAGAGCCAGATCCTGTCTGCCTGTCTGCAGGGTGGCTGCCCTGGTCCTCCGCAGTGCCACTCACGGAGAGGCTCAGCCACCCCCAGACCTGGGTGAGGTGGGAGCTGAGGTTGGCAGTCTGGATCTGCAGTCTCTTTGCAGCCCTTTCTTCCAAATGTGGCTTTTGGTGCCTGCGGCTCTTTGAAGCAGTGGATTTTGCCTGGCTGGAAGCTGAGGGGTCACCCAGGGGTCAGGTGCCAGCTGCCACCAAGGTCCACCAAGAAATGTCCATGTCACGTCGCATCCTGACTCCATGGCCCTCTGGACATTGAACTCGGCACTTATTCTTGGTGCATTTGTCACTCGCTAACCTCTGTCACCGAGGCCCATGTTGCCCATTTCTGTGCCTTCTTGTGCTCAGAGAGCATGTGTCTACTTGCTCATTGAGAAGAGCGGGTTTTGTGGATGCTGTGGGTGATGGCACAGGGCGGTTAAGCCTGAGCATGGTTCCTCCCACAGCTAACGAGGAGTATTACCAGCTGCTGATGTCCAGCGAGAGCCAGCCCTGCAGCGTGGACGTGCCCTCTTACACTGTGGAGCAGGTGGAGGGCACCACCTCCGAGTACATCATGCAGAACGCGGTGAGTCTCTCGGGGACTCGGGTCTCCCTCGGGTCACCTCACTGGACCCTGCGGGATCTGGTGTTTCCACCACACAAACCCCACCTCCTTCCTGGAGATGCCCTCGTTTCCTCTCCATGCTGTCCTCGGCCCCTGTGTGTCAGAGAAGCCTGGCTACAATGGACTGGGCCCCAGGGGGAGGAGACAGGCCTGGTATGTCCAAGCTTCATAGTCACCCTAGGGCTGGGACCAGGGACTCAAGCGCTGTGAGTTTCTGAGTGCTCCACAGAGGTGGGCCTGGGGGTCTTGGGGAGGAGGACCCTTCCTGAGTTCTCAGTCAGAGAGATCACCTGGCCTGTGGGGGAGGCTGGCCTCCACTCAGGCACTCTGGCCCCTCCCAAATCCTTCCTCCAGCCTCATCCCCCCCCCTTTCCCCAGCAGTCCCCAGAGCCCTGGGGGAGAAAAGGGCTGGCGGAGGGGCTGTGACTGATGAGGTGATGGGGAGGTAGTGTCCTATCAGACGTTGGAGTTGAGCTGTGCTGGTCAGGACTGAGGCCAGGGCCCAGAGACCCCCTGAGACCCTGCCTGCAGCCTGCATTCTGCCCAATGTCTTCCCTGCTGTCTGGTCTCCTCTGTAACCACCAGTCGTGTGCTGCCTCCCTAGGACATGTTTGCTGTGGCTGTGTCCCTGGTCACCGGGAAGATCCTGTACATCTCCAACCAAGTTGCCTCCATATTTCACTGTAAGAGAGATGCCTTCAGTGACACCAAGTTCGTGGAGTTCCTGGCTCCTCACGACGTCAGCGTGTTCCACAGTTCCACCACCCCTTACAAGCTTCCGTCCTGGAGCGTGTGCGGGGTCGTAGGTGAGGCCCTTGCGTCCTGTGCAGAGGAGGGGAGAGGCTGGGGGAGGCAGAGCCCACCTGGAGGGCTGCCAGACCCCTCCCACCCCGCTCTCCGTCAAAGCTGACCAGACAGTTAGCTGAGATTAAATTTAGAAAAAAAAAAGTGACCTTTTTGTAAATTTCAGGGATTCTTTTAAGGCACTAGGCATTTTCGAAGCAAAGTCGGGAGAGTAAGAGTTGTTCCTGAGGTGACTGCTGTGTGGGGTAACAAGGATGCAGGCGAGGCTGAGGCTCCGCTCCCCGCTGCTCCCCGCCGCTCCCCACCACTCCTCGCCGCTCCTCACTGCTCCCCACGGGCCACTGTGGCCTTTACCTTGGCAGAGCCCATTCCTTCACACAGGCCGGGAGGCCAACTCTGCGCAGTGCCAGAGGCCTCCTTGGCTGCCCAGCCTGCGAGCGGGCCCACCGTCTTGTCTGCCTCATGTCCACGCTTCTTAGCCCTGTCCAGCCCTCCCTGCACTGGCAGCTGGGCCAGTGTCTTCCTGTGTCTGGAAGCTCCTTTGGACATGAGCTCTGACACCACCCACACTCCTGAGCTCTCCCCTATCCCTCTCCTTCCTGCCCCACCTTCTGGGGTCTGAATTTGATTCATCCCCTTCTAAAACCCACCTTGAAATGTGCCGTGGGGGCAGTCAGAGGCGGGAATCTTGAAGTGTGCCGTGGGGGCAGTCAGAGGCGGGAATCTTGAAGTGTGCCGTGGGGGCCGTCAGTCAGAGGCTGTTAGGAGCTGGTGCCTTCCTTGTGAAGCAAGGGCTCCCCCTCCTGGGGGGCACTGCGGCAGGAGAGGCTCAGTAACAAGCAGGGCTGCCCCCAGGGCCCCCCTCCTCCGCGTGTTCCCTCTCCTCCTTCACTTCCTGCCGTGGGTTGGGGCAGCACCTCCCCTCACCAGCCTCAGAGCAGGTGCTAGCACTGTGCTATTGGATTTCCCAGTCTTTGGAACCGTGAGCTGAATGACCCTCTGTGCTGCTTACGAGCCACCTACCCTCCTGCAGCTTGTCATAGAAAACATGCTAAAGGGCTGGGAAGGTGGCAGAGCACTTGCCTTGCATGCCTGAGGCCCTGGGTTCGATTCCTCAGCACCACATAAGCAGAAAAAGCCGGAAGTGGCGCTGTGGCTCAAGCGGTAGAGCGCTAGCCTTGAGCTGAAGAGCTGAGGGACAGCGCCCAGGCCCAGAGTTCAAGCCCCATGACTGACAAAAAGAAAAAGAAGAAACAAAAAGACTAAGGCAGAAAATTGGTGCCACGAAGTGGGTGTTAAAGTAAGGATACCTGGAAAATGTGGCAGCTTTAGAACTGGCAGTGGGCGTGGCTGGACCAGCTTTGCAGAGGCAGCTGGAGAAAGCCTGAGCTCAAAGGTGGTGTGCTGTAGGCTCAGGAGAAGATGGGGGACCAGGGAGATGTGGGGCTTCTCAGCAGTGGCCTACACAGTGGCCTGTGTTGATGGAAATGTGCGTGGCAGAGGCTATGCTGTGGCCTCATGGAAATGAAGTCTTCATGGCTTATTGGGAGGGAGAATGAAGGCCACGGTGGAGAACTTGTTAGGATTCTGGCCACACCTAGGAGCTGGAAGGCAGAGCTTCACAGTGTTGAACCATGTCTGGTGGACATAACTATCTAAGCAGCCAGCTGCCCCAGGAGCCGCCTGGCTACCTGAAGCCTTAACTGCAGGCAGTAGGGAAAGGGAGTGGGATCGCTGCCGGGCAGGATGGGAAGGTTTCATCCGCCGCAGAAGCGGGACTGCAAGCAGAGACCGCCAAAGATTCAGCAGCTAGGGGCAGTGGGTACCATTCGTTAGGACAGGGTAGTGAGCCCCCAGCAAAAGCTCAGAATGTTAGCACTAGGGCTGTCTTGGGCAGGTGCTCTCTGCCTCCCTTTGAGCTCTTTGCAGCTCCATCCATGGCTCTGGAGGATGCATTACAGCCCCTGGCCAAAGCGTGGAAGCCATATACCTTGGCAGCATCCATAGGCTGCTAATAATCCTGCAGGTGTGCCAAGTGCAAGAGCGACCAGGCGTGGCTCCCTTAGCCTGGATTTCAAAGGAAATCGCAGAAAGCACTGAGCCCAGGCAGAAATCAGCTACACAGGCAGAGCTGCTGTAGACTCCAGGCTGCCGAGTGGAGCCTTCTGAGGCTCCGGCTGCTAGCAGTATGCCACTCCTGGGAAGGCTGCACCAGCAACATACCACTCCAACCCTGAGGGCCAATGCCAGGTGGACAGGGCCCAGGCTAGCCCGGGGAGCCCAGCCTTCCCCAACTTCTGGTGTGTCCAGGAGGGGTGTGTGGAGCGAAGATGATTCTGCCTTTGTATTTTAGCAATGGGTGCTTGTTTTCACCTCACAAGTCTCAGCTGGATTTTGGACTTTTGTGTTGGTTCTGGACCAAGTGGAAACTGTGAGGGGGGGGGGGGCTGGCTGTATTTCAAACGGTGAGGACAGGAGTTTGGGCAGACCAGGAACGCGTCCCTTTGGATCTCATGCTGAAATTTGCCTTTTTCTGTGGCAGGGTTGTAAGAGCCCTCAGGTGGTGGGAGCAATGGGGGTGGGGAGGAGAGTTTTCCCTCTTGGGGCTGAATCCGGTATTGAGAGCAGATGGTTGTAGTGAGGCTCCTGGTGTTCTGTATCTTTGACCTCCCCCCGAACCTCGCTTGCCCTTTCGCTTTTCACCCATGAGATATGAGATAGCAGCCCAGAAGCCCTCGGACTTCCCAGCTTCTAGAACTGCGAGTCAAGTATGTAAATGGTATTTTATATATATATATATATATATATAGAGAGAGAGAGAGAGAGAGAGAGAGAGAGAGAGTCTTCACTCTCAGGCCATTTGTTAAGCAACAGAAAAAGCACTGAGACAATCTAAGTCACATTCTGGCGGCACCTCCGGGCTAGGACTGGTCCTTCCTCCATCCTGACTGTCCCCAACTGCTGCCCCCGGGCAGTTGCCATTGGGCTTCATATGTCTTTGTCCTACTTTTCCAAGTTGGTTGACAAGACAGAGCCTGGAAGAGCTGCGAGGCTTTCCAAAGGTAACAGCACAGCTGTGGAACGCGGGGTGTTGAGAATGGCTGGCGGATCTGCACGGTCCTGACAAAATTCCTGGGAGAGGCGAGGCTCAGCCAGCTACCTCGGCTGTCCCCTCCCTCCACACCGCGCTGACCAGGGCAGCCTGGCCAGAATCCTTTTTGAAGTGTGCATCCCTCAGCATCTGTTCCCTGCACACCTCAGCCCCTCGTGGGCTCTTACTGGACCCGGAGAGACAAGAGGGCAGTGGACAGGCCCAGGAGTTGCCCCAGTCCAACCTGACCTGGATCAAAATCTTGACCCAGCTCCTGCCCTAACCAGCTCGCCAGGCGCCCTCTGCAGTTTCATCTCCTCAGCCTTCCCTGACACCACACGGGGAGGCCCTTGCAGGCCTGAGGGCCTCCCGTTTGGTTGGCATCGAGGATGGACGCTGCCTTCAGGCCCCTGCCATCTGACCCTGTACCCAACAGGGGGCCACCTGGGCACGCGCTGGCTTGGGAGCTGCCTCAGGAGGAGGAAGTGCCTGCTCTTGTTCCAGATGTAGTGCCGCTGCTTTCTCCCCAAATCCAACCCTGGACTGTCAGGTCAGACTCTAGAGTCTGCAGTGTGCAAGGACCCGTCAGGCTGGCTCGGCCCGCCCCACAGGGAAACAGGCATCCTGGTGCACGTTTCCAGCACCAGTGGCCTGGCTACCTCCCCGGCATGGTGGCCGCTGAATAATGGTCTGAATAAAAAAGAAAACTGGGCGACTTCTCAGAGGCTTTCCAGGCTAGTAACTTTATCTGTTTCCATGATTAGTAACTGTCTAGTTGTTATTGCTTTTGAACAGAGGAAACTTCAAGGTGAAAGATTAAGTGTTCTTTCTTTAATTTCAATTCCTTAAAACTACCCTAGAAACAATCCCTCACTTCTAATGAGATGGCCCCATTGATCTCACATTTTCACTAGATATTACAACTTTTAAGTGAATCAGTATTGTACAGAGAATTGATGGAAGTTAGCGGGTGCCCTTTGTTGTTCTAGCAGAATTGCAGGGGCTGGGGTGAGTATGTGTTTGAAACACTGAGGACTTGTATTTACACTCAGTAGGTCTCCCGCCATACCTGTTAACTGGTGTCATCGTAGCAGCCTTGTGCCATCCCAAAATCACTTTGGAGCTGTATCTGTATTAGAGATACATAATGGAAAGGATGCCCTCTGTGCTTGGGTAGGACACTCAAGTGGCTTCTCAACAGTCTGTGAGACACAACACGTGACATCTGTCTTCAGTTGTTTAAGTAGATGAATGACTTTGGGTTTTTCTTTCTTGCAGATTCCTTCTCTCAGGAGTGCATGGAGGAGAAATCCTTCTTTTGCCGTGTCAGGTGAGGCCGGTTCTCAATGCTCTCAGCTTAACCCCAGAGGCCCCTGCCACCCTTGGTGCCTGGGGCGCATTGGAAGGTGCTCAGCTGTAAGGCTCTGCCTGTGTGAAAACATGCAGTAAGTTACAGCCCAGTGTGCACAGAGGCTAGGAGAGCGCAGCCAGCTGTGCTCAAAGCACCCTGGCCACTGGTTGCACAGGAAGGCGGTCCTTAGGACCCACAGGGAACCCAGAAGCTGTTAGATTGTGGGCACACTTTTAGGGTTTTCTGAGCAGCTTCTTGATCCAGAGTAGGGTGACCACTGAAATATCCAGGCAGTGTTGGCAGCGAGGTGGGCCCAGGACCCCACTGAGGAAGCAGCGGCTTCGCTCTGCTTGCCCTGAGCTGAGCACAGAGCGCCCAAGAGCAGGAAGAACTCCCACTGGTGAGGGTGCAGGCTCAGCTCACTGACCCCAGGGTGACAGCCTGACAGCGGGGGCTCAGCCAGGTGTGGGTCAGCTCCTCCAGTGGGCAGGGCTGCCCGCTGCTCACAAGAGGAGTTGGTGTGGCAGCCTGGCCTAGCTCCAGGACCTCTGCTAGAACAAACGAAAGGACTGCTGAAGCCAGCAGGCAGCTGGGGTGGGGTTGACAGGTCAGGATTCCAAGCCCTGATGTTGCTCTCCTCCCCAGTGTCGGGAAGCGCCACGAGCATGAGATCCACTACCAGCCATTCCGCATGACGCCCTACCTGGCCAAGGTACAGGAGCAGCGGGCACCTGAGAGCCAGCTCTGCTGTCTGCTGCTGGCAGAGAGGGTGCACTCAGGCTATGAAGGTACGGATGCCTGGCCCCGGGAGCACCTGTGTCAGGGGCCTTCGTAAGACCCTCAGTCACACAGTGGTCCGAACATGACACATGTATAAATGGCTCCTAGCTCTTCTTCTGCCTTGGCTCCCCCACACTCCAGACAGTTCCCATCTCCCTCCCCGGGCTCACTCACCCACTGTGTTGTCTGGCCTTCTGAAGACATCTGGACACTGGCACTCTCACCCACGTCGCGTCCGCTGTCCTGGCCCCTCCCTTCCTTTCAGGCTGCGAGTCTAGGTCCTGCCTCCCATCCTCGAGCCTCCTCCCTGCCTTTCAGGCTGCGAGTCTAGGTCCTGGCCCCTCCCATCCTCGAGCCTCCTCCCTGCCTTTCAGGCTGCGAGTGTAGGTCCTGGCTCCTCCCATCCTCAAGCCTCCTCCCTGCCTTTCAGGCTGCGAGTCTAGGTCCTGCCTCCCTGCTCATCCTGTTCCCTGCCCTGCTGTGGCCTCGCCACCTCAGTCTATCTGGAAGACCAAATCATCCCTCAGCCACCAAGAGGTCCAGTACTGGACGTCTGTCCCTCCTCCCTCTCTCCTCCTGACTTCCACCTGGGCTTGCCTTCCTCCCAGCCTGCTCTGCCTTGTGCAGATGGGTCAGGTTCTATGATAGGTTCATGAGCCCCATGTGTCCTCTATTCTAGCCTTTGCCTCCCGGCCCTCTGCCTGGCGCTGCCCTCAGCCTGTGGTGTCCAGCAGCTCTGCTGCTGGCCTAGCTGTAGCTCCTCAGACTACCTGCCCCACACAGTCAAGTTTCTGCCCCGGAAGACTGAAGGAATGCAGGCACTGGCACACTGGGCATTGTCTCTGTGACCCCTCTTGAGGGACAGTTTTGTGACACCACAGTCCTTGTACCCACTACAGAGCCTGGCTAGGAACTGTCTTGGGGGTGATTCTCAAGTCCTGCAGTCCATATTTCCTAAGAACCGGTGCCTGCTATAAGGAATGAGCCACAACAGCTCAGTTTAGCCTGGCTGTACTGGACTCTAATCTGCTCTCAGTGAACAACGGTGACTTTTTTTTTAACAAGGCACTTCTAAGCAATAGAAACGTGCTCTAATGTATGACTCCAACATGTTTTAACAGTCTCTGCATCTGCACAGAGAATATCTTAAGTATTCACTTGGGATTTAGGTGGGTGCTTAGATTTCAAGACACTGTTTCCCCAAAGTATCAGTCTTCTTGAAGAACAAAAGATTTTAGAACTCAGGAGTTGAAGAAAATGTTGGTTATGTAACTGCCTTTATGGAAATTACTCTAATATTTCTACTTACCTTAGAAACTATAAAATTTTCCAATACAGGGACTGGGAAGGTGGCTCAGTGGTAGAGTGCTTGCCTTGCATTGCATAAGGCCCTGGATTCCATTCCTCAGCACCACATAAGCAGAAAAAGCTGGACGTTGTGCTATGGCACAAGCGTAAAGTGCTTGCCTTGGGCTGAAGAGCTGAGGGACAGCGCCCAGGCCCAGAGTTCAGGCCCCACAACCAACAACAACAAAAAAAAATTCCAATACAATAGCATTTGCTGAGAATTTTAAATCCAAATATGTAATTCACTTTCCTAAAGATAGTTTAATCCGTTTACTGTAGTTTTATCTTAAAAACCATAAAGATGGCTGGGCACTGGTGGCTTATACCTATAATCCTAGCTACTCAGGAAATTTAGACATGAAGATTGCCATTCAAAGCCAAATGGGCAGAAAAGTCTGTGAGACTCTTATCTCCAACTAACCACCAGAAAAGCAGAACTGGAGCTGTGGCTCAAAGTGGTAGAGTGAAAAAGCTCAGGGACAGCGCCCAGGCCCTGAGTTTAAGCCCCATGACTGACAAAAAAACTAAAACAGAAAAGATGGCCTTGCATGACGCTGTGAGGAGGCTGCAGGTGCCCCCCCCCACGTGGCCCTGTTCCCAGGGCCGTTCCTGGCTGACGCAGAGAAATTGGGGAGCTGGCTGCTCTGCACCAGCCTAGAGTCTGCTGCATCTCCCAGCCGAAGGCCGCCGGCTCAGGCCGCGTCTTCATGTCTGTTAGCTCTTCCCATTACTGTGAGTAGACGTGCTGTTTTCCAGTAATTGTATTACAGCTCCACTGAATAAATGTTTCTTAGAATTGGGTAATTGGAGCAAAATTCTGTTTTTCCAGCCCCCAGAATTCCTCCGGAGAAGAGAGTCTTCACAACGACTCATACGCCGAACTGCTTGTTCCAGGATGTAGATGAAAGGTGAGTGGCGTCACGTGGTCTCCGCGCCCAGCCCGCTGCAGCCGCTCACCGAGGAATTAGTCTTGCGAGGTTCCTCTCCTCGACTCCTGAAAGGTTCTTCTTGTTGTGTCACATCAGCTGTGCCTAGGGACAGCTGAAGGGACTGGGAGAGGGTCTATCCGCACTGCAGCATCGAAGCGTTGTAGCTGACTCTAGGGCTGCCTGTTCATTCCACCAGCACGATCATCTGCACATGCTTGGCTGCACGCCCCTGTGGCACGGTGATGCGGCTGGTGGCAGGCCCCAAATGCGGTAGTGACCCGCCAGCCCGTGATGCCAGAGCATCATGACATTACTGGAGCTGTGGTGCGGCTGGGGCAAGCTCCAGCTCGCCTGTTGCTCTGGTCCTGTGGAAGCATGGCGAGGTAATCACTGCAGCAGGGAGTGCTGGTGTGCTTGCCTCTCTGCATACTCTTACCACTTCTGTCTCTTATTGTAGTCTAGTACTCGCAGCAGCCTTGCTGTCTGCCTCAGTGTGGGGCTTGACTGCACCCAGCAGGCATGTCTAGCGGTTGGCCTGTGCCATCGCGGTCACTTTGCCTGATGCTGTCTGCACCATGAAGATACCTCCTGGTTCACTTCCTAGCCCATGTCCTCATGGTTGAACAACACATGACAGGAAAAGCCATTGCAGTTGCTTTGCAAGACACCAAATAATGTCTTCAGAGCCAGATGTCATGGTGCATGCCTGTCATCGCAGCACTCAGGAGGTTGAGGGAGGAGAATCAAGACCTCAAGGAAACCTGGACTACATAGTGAGACACTGCCTCACAATAAAACCTCTCCCTCTGGGAGAAGCCGGGGACCCTCTTCACCAGCCCCAGGCCGCACGCCTGTGTTCCACAGACCTCTGTGACAGAATCATTGCTGGACAGTTTCCCGATGCAGGTTCCTGGGTCACACTCTGCCCTGCTGCCCTGCTGCCTGGGATCTTGGAGGTGGAGCCTGGGAACTGTGTGTGTGAAACAGGCCTGCAGGGCTTCATTCCACAAAGGTGCAGGGGGACCTGCAGCCTCCCCTTCCTGGTGCAGAGCAGAGAGTAGGCAGGTGGTGTGGAGAGCAGGTCTGCAGCGTTCTCCTTAGTGAAACCTGCAGGCTGCCAGTCCACACGAGCTGGCCAGGGTGGAGGTTGGGCTCTTTTTCGTCCTCCTCCTGCTCTTGCTCCTCCAGCCATGCCTGCCCTGGCAGGGTGCCAGGGACATTGTGTCCAGGGAAGCAAGAGAGTGCCTTAGAGGAGGACAAAGTCAAAGGGCAACTCCAGGCCCAAAGAGCTGCGTGCCACAGGAGTAGGGATACATCCCTACATCTAAAGACTGAAGCAGGATGTCCTCAGAAAAAGAGCTTGAGAAGACTTCTTGCTGGGGTGGGAGGGGGATGCTGGCAGCCTCCAGGACTGGAGCCAATAGCCAAAGGCACTGAAGTAGCTCTGCTCCTCCAGAGACAGGCGCAGCTAAAAGGAGCATTTCCTCTGTCTGGAGAGCAGACACGGTGCTAAGGTGGTGCAAGGCCCTAGCTGACAGAGCCTTGTTGCTCATGGGTCGCTAGGCCCCTCGCTGGCTACACCAGCTGGCTGTGAGCCCAGCTCTCCTAGCACAGCCTTTGGGGATTTGGTACCAGTCTCCCTCCCCAGAAGTGGTGAAGTTCTGATGTGGCCAGACTCCCCGTCGTCAGCTGGCTTGTTCCATCCAGTCTGTGCCCTGTGCTGAGGCTCTGGGTCTTTTTGCCTTGCAGGGCAGTCCCCCTCCTGGGCTATCTACCTCAGGACCTGATCGAGACACCCCTACTCATGCAGATCCACCCCAGCGACAGGCCCTTGATGCTTGCCATCCACAAAAAGAGTAAGCGCCCAGGCACCGTGAACCTCAGGGGGTATGGTCACACCTAGTGACCCAGGGCAGCTGCCTCCCACCTCGGTCCTGGGCTGCCAGCCCGGGAGGGTAGGGGAGGAAAGCTCACGTCGGTTTCTGTGTGGGCAGGAGCCCTTGTCTGCTTCTTGTCTGTACTTTGGCTTCCAGTGCAGATGGGAGGGAGATCAGCTCAGCTGTGGCTGGGAAGGTTCATGCGCAGGACGCATGTCCTAATAGGGGATAAAACCATCAAGGGGACAGCTTGAAGCAAGCGTGGGGTGAAAGCAGTGATTTGGAGGTACCTGTGTCCCCAAAGAGCGACAGGGACCCAAGCTGGCACACTCCGTGTGTCCGTGCTCTGCGCACACGCGGTCCCTCCCACCCTGAACGCTGCTTCTCTCCCCCAGTCCTGCAGTCCGGTGGGCAGCCTTTCGACTATTCTCCCATTCGGTTCCGCGCCCGGAACGGGGAGTACATCACACTAGACACCAGCTGGTCCAGCTTCATCAACCCGTGGAGCAGGAAAATCTCCTTCATCATCGGGAGGCACAGAGTCAGGGTGTGAGTGCTCCCAGGGCTTCGGCACTCAGGGGTCTCAGGGATCCTGGCCTGTCCTCTCTCCCCACCAGCAGGTGGCGTAGACGGGGCCCAGAGACCAGGACCAGAGCCACCTCCTGCCACCTACCTGTGGGGGAGCCCCAGCCAGGTGGGCGGGTGAGGTGGGGGGAACCTCACTCAGGTTGAATGGGGAGTGGGCAGGGGTGTCTGGGATCACAGGGAGGAGGCAGAAGTCCCGGCCTGCCACGCAGCATGGGTGCTGTGTGCTCAGGCCAGAGGTCTTCGAGGGGGCCCTACTAATGAGATGCATTAAAACCACACAGGGGCCCCTTGAATGAGGATGTGTTCGCAGCCCCCCCGGGAGTGGAGGAGAAGGCCCCACACCCCAGCATTCAGGAGCTCACAGAGCAGATCCACAGGCTGCTGCTGCAGGTGGGTGCTGGGCCTGCACCCTCGGCCCTCATGGTATACCCTGCACTGGGCCTGGCCCGGCCCCTTGTGCTCCCATGTGTCTGTGATTCCCTGGCCCTAAGGGGCTGACCCAAGAAGCTCCCAAGTACCCTGGAAGTGCTTGTTTAGGGTCATGGCTTTGGCACTGAGGGATCTAAGCTGCAACCTTGAGCAAGCAGTTGAAGGGTACCCAAATCCCATGGCCTGGATACATACTCCCCACAGCACATCTGGCATAAGGCTCCACCAGCCTGGGCACCAGCACCGGGAATTTCGAGACAAGCCTGAAAGACTAGGGCAGCCCTGGTGATCTCCACGCCAGACCACATCGCTGCTTCTCAGTTTCAGGCCATGGTGTCTTAACTGCACCCACACCGATTTTAACTGCATCCACACCCTCCCAAGAACTGCCGGTGTGACTGGTGCTCACGCTGAGGCTGAGCAAGTTCCCCGTCGGTGGAGTCCCTCTCAGTGACTGCCAGCCTGGGCTGGCAGCACCGTGGGAGAGGCCGGGTCCCCCTCGGGCACCTGACCCTGGGGCTCAGACCCTAGCCAGCCCCTTGTGGTCGTCTTACGACCTTGGGGAGGCTACCGACCCCAATGGGAACATAGCCAACCGCACTCTCCGCGGTACCCCTCCACCACGTCCACAAGCTCTATTTGTTGTCCCCCGCAGCCCATCCCCCACAGTGGCTCCAGTGGCTACGGCAGCCTGGGCAGCAATGGGTCCCATGAGCATCTCATGAGTCAGACCTCATCCAGTGACAGCAACGGCCACGAGGAGGCTCGCCGGAGGAGATCCGTACGTCCCTCTCTGTTCTCCCTAAGAAAATGAGTGTGCGGATATCTGTGGAAAGCTGGAAGGCAGGGTGGAGGGTAACTCTGGAGTGACAGAGGCCAGCGTGACCTGCCTCACTGGGGCGTGTGGAAGGAAGTCTCCTAGAATGAATAACCTGTTCCTTTTGTTTTTCTTCAAGGAAATTTCTAAAAATGGTAGCAAGAGCAAAACCAAAAGTCATTTTTCTCATGAAGCTGGAGCACAAAAGAAAACTTCCGTTCCAGGTGAAAAGAAACTCTACACCCCCTTAATATGCTCTGGGCATGGCAGAGTGCCGGCCCCGGGTTAAACGCTCAGTCAGGATGGGCAGAGAGGTGGCTTCTATGTGTACTCCATGTGGCAGGACCGTGTTCAGTCAGCAGGTGCAGAGATGAGCACCTGAGTGGGTTCTGTTGCCTTGCTGGCCTGGTGAGGTGGGGGGAGGGAGTAATTCCTCTGTCCCCAACACCCAGTCTGCTGAGCATGCTGGGAGACATGACGGCTTGCTCATACTGCTCTGTGGACGGGCTGTGCAGCCATGCGCTCACACATGTGACACAGCACACAAGCATGCACACACACATTCACGCACACACACACAGCTGGGGTGTGGAGTCTGCGCTTCTCAAAGCAGACCTGTGGACCGTGCAAAGTGCAGGGCTGGGTATTGGGAACACACTGGTGAGCTGGACAGAGCTATTTGCTTGAGGGCCCAGAGGGGGATGGGCTTGTGCCACTGCGGTGAGGGCAGCAGCGCCTTGTCCGGGCAGCCCTTACCACAGGCTTCTTGCAGCCAAGACCCCTGTCCAGGAGCAGAGAGATCCTGGGATCTCATTGCAGTAAAGTTCAGGACCCAGAAAGCCTGGCCTCTCCACCACTGAGCTGAACCCTGAGAGAACCCCTGGGGGCCACCCAGGCCCCACCAGGGCAGCAGGCTCAGCTCCCTCGGGAGCTCATCCCGGCAGGGCTTGGCTGTCTGCTCTCTGGTCTCCAGGCCTGTGAAACACTGTGGGTAGAATAGACTTCCCCGCCTACATTGTGTCCTTGGGGGGAAAATATTCAATGAGAGAACAACGTTGTCATCTTTTCAGAAATACAGAGTAGCCCTCCAGCTACTCAGGTAAAAGTTGTTCCTGCCACAGAGGAGAGCCCCGGGGTGAGCTCACCCAAGGCCGGCTTCCCTGAGGAGCTGGCCTGCAAGAACCAGCCCGCCTGCTCCTACCAGCAGATCAGCTGCCTGGACAGTGTCATCAGGTGCGGGGGCGGGCGCTGTGGCCTTCCTGCCCTCTCGGCTTTCCTCCCCCCCTCCCCCACCCACAGTCCTCTGGCCCTCCACACAGGTACCTGGAGAGCTGCAGTGAGGCCTCCACCCTGAAGAGGAAGTGTGAGTTCCCTGCACACATCCCGTCGCGGAAGGCCACCGTCAGCCCCGGACTGCATCCCGGAGGTGCTCTGTCTGTGTTAAACTGTCACATTGTGATGACTGAAATACTTGGGGTGCAATCAGAAGTCATTTCTGGCCTGAGGGTCCCCTCTTCCCCTCTCCTCCCCGCCCCCCCCCCGCCCTAGATCCACTGAGTGGCTTCAGGAGTCCAATGTAAGGGAAGTTGCTCAGGTCCTCTTACACACCAGGTCCTTCTTACACACCACTAGATCATGGTGGTTCTGGGCTTGGAGAATAGGACGCTGTTAGGGCTGCGGGAGGCGTGGGAACATCCTGATTCCCGCTCCCACGTCACACTGGTCCCAATATGCTGGGGCTCCTTTCTCATATGTCTCAAGGGGACCTTGGCCCTTGCAGTGACCCCAGAGCTCAGCCTTCTTAAGTGCTTATGTTGCTGATGGTCATGGCCAGGATGAGGAACAGGGTGTCCCTGTTGTCAAGATGCAGCGGGAAGATTGGGCAGTCACTCACAGAGGGTGAGCTGTTTGCTATTACCGGGGTTATTGCTGACTCCTACCTACTGAGAAGTCCCTCCCCACAGGCCACCAGAAGGCCAATTTCCTCCCCGCCTTTCTCCTGTGAACAGATGTCTGAGGACAGGTTACCCAGTGTCTGTGAGGTGGGGTGTGTGCAGCGGGCCGGGGCCTCTGGATTCTGTGGTCACTGCCCCTTAGCTAAGCCAGCCATTCATTCTTGATTGTGCATTTGTGTTTCCTTCTGTTTTCTCTAACAAATTACAGAGGCCTCTGCACCCTGCAAGGTGAACAGCCACGCGGAAGTCAGTGCGCACTTGACCTCCCTAACGCTGCCCAGCAAGGCCGAGAGCGTGGTGTCCCTCACCAGCCAGTGCAGCTACAGCAGCACCATCGTTCATGTGGGGGACAAAAAGCCGCAGCCCGAGTTAGGTATGCTGGTGGGTTCTTTTAGTATATCAACAGCAGAATGATCTTCAAAACTGCTTTGCCATTTTACAATGTGATCTTTAAAGCTGGGTGCCACTGGCTCATGCCTATAATCTGAGGATAGAAGTTTGAAGCCAGCCCAGGCATGAAAGTCCATGAGACTCTTATCTCCAATTAATTACGGGGGTGGGGGGGCCAGAAGTGGAGCTGTGGCACTAGCCTTAAAAACACACACACACACACGCACGCACACACGCACGCACGCACGCACGCACGCTCAGTAAGTTGACCAACATGAGAGGTAATTTGTCAGCCTTTGCCCTGTTGCGCTTTGGCGCCACCTCATGGTGACTCTGCTGTGTTGTAAATAAGGAAGGTGCAGGAAGGTGCAGGTATACATATCCCTTATCAGGTGGCAAAGGACCACTGGGAATGAGGCTCCACCCCCTTGCATTCCCACCGAGCTTGAGAGCCTTTCCTCCATCCCAAAGGTTGGTAGCACTCGCTGTGTACAGACAGGAACCAGTATAAGTTGTAACAAAACAGGAAGAAGGCCATGACTTGTCATGTTTTGTTACAATTTATACTGGCTCTTGTGTTTTAGCACACTGTGATTGAAATGAATCCTGCATCCTATTCTTTACCAGGAAGCAAAGTTCCTGCCGGAGATGGGTCCCCATGTGCCCAGACTGCCTGCCCCTTGCTCTCTGTCCTCATAGGCCACACAGTCACAATGCCTCTGTGTCTGGCCCTGAACACAGAGAAGTGCAGAGCACTCAGCCTTGATTGTTCTGCAAGATGGGATCGCCCTCAGAATGTCAATAACAGGGTTAATGCTCAAGTCCCCACTTTGCTTAGAAGTCTGATTTCTGAGCCCCCTGTACCCATGCCTTTGGCTTGACCCATCTCTGAAGCTGAAGACAGACTCTGGGGACGCTCACCCCCAAGTCATCTACATCACAGGTCCCCGTGTGAGTGATCTGTGCTGCCCATAAGCATGTGATATCATGAGGATCAAAACCTGCTTCTGGTTACAGAGACAGTAGAAGATGCCGCGAGTGGGCCTGAGTCCTTGGATGGCCTGCCTGGAGGCCTGAATCAGGAGAAAGGGCCCTTGCAGAAGCTGGGCCTCACCAAGGAAGTGCTGGCGGCCCACACACAGAGGGAAGAGCAGGGCTTCCTGCAGAGGTTCAGGGAGGTGAGGCGGCTGGGTGCTCTCCAGGCCCACTGCCAGTACTACCTGCAGGAGAGATCCAGGGCCCAGTCCGGTGAACGAGGTAAGTGGAAAGCCTGAATTGACATGTGTTTTAAAAAGTGTGATTCCTAGGATATTGAGTCCAGTGCTGATTTCAGAATGTGACATGTGTCAGATGAGAGGACACAGTGGAGGGTAAAACCAAGATTTCCATCTTCCTCGTCTAGCTTCATTTTCTGCAGCTTCAGTTACCCTTGCTTCCCATGGTCTGAAAAGACCACATGGAAAATTCCAGGCATAAGTAGTGCAGAAGTTTTTTTTTTTTTTAATGTGAACTCTGCCGAATCCAGAAGTCTCCACATGTAAGACAGGCTTGGCGCTCTGCCGATGATGTGGCCTGTGTCTGCAGAATTTGGCAGCCTGAAGATCTTCTCCAGGAAGTAACCTGTGTTCCCAAGGAAAGAGCATTTCAAATAGCCACACAGTGCTAGGCTAGACCATTTGGATGTGGAGTTAGGTAGCCTTGTACTTGTCAGGTAACTGTGCGGCAAAGGGAACCCCACTATACTCTCCACCTCAGACAGAACCCTGAGATAGCTGGGCGCTGGGGGCTCACGCCTGTAATCCTAGCTACTCAGGAGGCTGAGATCTGAGGATCGCGGTTCAAAGCCAGCCCGGGCACGTAAGACCGTGAGACTCCTATCTCCAATAAACCACCAGAAAACCGGAAGTGGCACTGTAGCTCAAGTGGTAGAGCACTCACCTTGAGCTGAAGAGCTGAGGGACAGCGCCCAGGCCCAGAGTTCAAGCCCCACGACCGACCAAAAAGAAAAAAAAACCCTGAGATTAAAAAGTGAACTCAAGGGGCTGGGAAGGTGGCTCAGTGGTAGAGCACTTGCCTTGCATGCCTGAGGCCCTGGGTTCGATTCCTCAGCACCACATAAGCAAAAAGAAAAAAGCCAGGAGTGGTGCTGTGGCTCAAGTGGTAGAGCGCTAGCCTTGAGCTGAAGAGCTGAGGGACAGTGCCCAGACCCAGAGTTCAGGCCCCACGACTGGACCAAAAAAAAAAAGTGAACTCAACCCAGAAAGAACAAGTGCAGCACTGGATGCAGCGGTGGCTCCTGGGAACAGAGAGCGATTGTCTGCCTCCCAGCCCGACTCACCTACCTGGCCAGGCTTCGTGCAATGTCCACAGTACACAGACTACACAGCAGTCCTGGGCAGTACTGCCCTTCCATGAATATAATAGCCTGGGAATACAGTGCTTTAGCTACTGTAACCTCCAGGGAAAAGATTTCTAGTTTAAAAAAATAGAAGTGGGGCACCGGTGGCTCATGCTTGTAATACTAGCGACTCAAAAAGCTGAGTTCTGAGGATCACAGTTCAATGCCAGCCCAGGCAAGAAAAGCCGTGAAACTCTTATCTCCAATAAACCAATAGAAAACTGGAAGTGTCACTGTGGCTCAAGTGGTAGGGCACTCGCCTTGAGCTGAAGAGCCCAGGGACAGCGCCCAAGCCCAGAGTTCAAGCCCCATGACCGACAAAAAAAAGAGAGAGAGAGAGGCTGAATCATAAAACCTGCACTCACAGAGCAGTTTGCTTGGGCTGGTCTGTCAGTCCTCAGCATGTAAAAACCCGTAGCACAGCTGCCATGTCCCTGCGCATCTGCCATGAACCCCCCAGGAGACACCCAGAGCTCCAGTCACAGGAGAGCCCCTCCTCCTCCTGAAGAAAGCCTAATGTCAGCTGTGTCATTGGACAGCAAGGATATTCCAAGGGCAAATGTGGCTGTCTGTCAACTTCCTGTCACTTACAGAGCACCTAAGAGGATCAGCTATTAAGGAGGAAAGATTTATTTTGGTTCATGGTATTGGAGTTTACAGTCCATGTTGCTAGGCCATTCCTTTGGACCTGTGATGGCACAGTCTATGGAGAAAGAGAAAGCTGGGTCCAGTATACCCTCTGAGGCCACACCCCAAGTGACCCCACTTCCTCTAAGCAGGCCCCGCCTCCTAAAGGCTCCACCCCCTCCCAACCGCTCCACCATCTGAAGACCCAGCCTTTAGCACAAACTTTGGCTCTGCTCAGGCTTTGTTGGACATTTTTGTTAAGGAACAGCAGTGATAAAGCTTGTACAATCAAGAACTAGTAGATCAGTAGGCCTACCTTTCAGATTTTAGAAGCCATTTCTTTTTTTCTAGATATTGGAGAACAACAGAGACTGCCCACCTTTTTAACTTTTTCAGTTTTATTTTCCACAAATAAGCCTTTTAATGCCAGCTACTTTAAGAGCAAAGCTATGGAAATATGAGAAAGAAAGAAAGTGATCTGGCAATTAGAGGGGTTGGTCCTTTGACCTGATGGGATTTGGTTTTCTGTAAAACCTAAAGTTTCACCTTGGTTTCTCTCCCTTGCCGGGGATGAGGGGAACGCAAGTTATGGAGCCAGTAGGCTGGCACTTGCCGAGACTGCGATGTGCTTTCTGTTATGAAACTCCGTGTGTCTCTGTGAGCTGACATAATGGGAATCATAAGCATGTCAAAATTCCAACTCTGGTTATTTTTCCATATTTTAGCTGCCCCTGGACTAAAAAATAGTTCTGGACTTGAGTCATCTTGGAAAAAAGCTGGGAAGAATAGAAAACTGAAGTCCAAGAGGGCCAAGCCTCAGGACTCATCTGATAGCACGGGTTCTGGGGGGCCTTGGCCCCATCGGCCCCCACTTGTGGGCCTGAACACCACGGCCTGGTCACCCTCGGACACCTCCCAGTCCAGCTGCTCTGCTGTGCCGTTCCCCGCCCCAGTGTCAGCTTACTCTCTGCCCGTGTTCCCAGCACCAGGAATAGTGCCCATTCCCGGGGCTGTGGCAGCACCGCCTGCAGTGCCGCAGGCCAGCTTTGCAGTGCCCGTGGTGCCCGTGGATGCCCAGCACGAGTTTGCAGTCCAGCCCCTGCAGCTCGCGGCTCCCTTGGCCCCAGTCATGGCCTTGATGCTACCCAGCTATCCTTTCCCACCCGCGACCCCAAACCTACCCCAGGCCTTCTTCCCCAACCAGGCCCACTTTCCAGACCACCCCATGCTCCCCTCTGAGATGACCGCCACCCCGCAGCCAGAGTTCCCCAGCCAGACCTCACTCCTCAGACAGCCGTGCACTTGCCCCGCCACCCCGGCCACCCCACCGCTATCAGCCACGGCGGCCACGGGCAGGGCCTCCCCGCCACTCTTCCAGTCTCGAGGGAGCTCACCCCTGCAACTCAACCTGCTGCAGCTGGAGGAGGCGCCTGAGGTCAGCGCCGGCGCCACGGGGGCCCCGGGGACAGCTGGACTGGACAGCATACCTGGCGCTTCCCAGGACTGGCAGCCAAAGGCACCTCCAACAGTAAGGAACCTCTGATGCCCTTCTCAGAGCAAGCAGTAGAACATATACCAGGCGGCCAGTGCCCAGCCTCGGCTCAAGCCAGGCTGCCTGGTACCATCCCATCAGAGAGGTTTACTTGCAGCTCTTTATTGTCTAGAATCTGAAAGAAGGATGATAGGTTGTGGCAAATGCAGGTCCTAATAGAAGAATATGACTTGTTGAGAGTAAATGTTTATTGGCCTAAAATGACTTAAGTGAGTATCGAGGTGAAACACCGGACGTCAGGCTCAGGAGGGGGAGAGCGCGGCCCGGTGGGCACAGGACCCTTCGATGACCCCCCCCCAGAACTATAGCAGAGGAGGTGGGGATGTTCCTGCTTCTCACCTGCAAGCTGGCCTTGCCTGGTCTCTATCCTCCATAGCCTTGAGGATGCTGGCCAGAGGCTCCTTCTCCACTCATGTGTCGCTGAAGGTGCTCAGTGTGTAATGGCATGAGTCCAAATGTAGTCCATTGCACTCCGAGTTGGAGATAACTGGGGGCACTGCGTGCCTTTGTGGGGCCTGGGTACCAGACCCTCTGACTGCTAGCTCTCACGCCTGCCGAGGCTGCCCATGACGCTGAGGAGCAGCCTGGGTCTCTCCTTCCTAGAACCTGAGCCCCCGTCTGGCTTGCTGCTCCTGAAACCATGTTTAGTTCCCGCGGCTCATAAAGCACCAGAACTTGCCGTGGTCTCAGCACAGCAGGGGCTGCTAATGAAATGGCTCCTGTTCCATGCACCCTCGACACAAGTCCCCTCTCACGTCTGCCCTGACCGCAGGGCGCCCAGCCTCCATGTCTTTCCTGTGTGAGCCATGGTGTCTTCTTCTCTCATCCCTAAAGCACAAGGAACCCTCCGACCCCCCGAACAGCGATGCTCTCTCCACATCCAGTGACCTGCTCAACCTCCTACTCAACGAGGACCTCTGCTCAGCCACAGGCTCAGCGCTGTCTGGGAGTGGGGCCTCGGCCACCTCGGATTCTCTGGGTTCCAGCTCACTGGGCTGTGATGCATCCCGCAGTGGGGCAGGTAGGCCGGTCCTAGGCCATAGGCATGTGTTCAACATGTGGCTATCACGTGATGCACCCGGAAGGCTCTCACAAGATGGTCTGCCCCAGAACGGTAGACTAGCACTTGTGCTCAGCCATGCTCCATCCTGTCCTTGGAGCTGTGGCGGGCCATACAGACACACATGACCTCCTGCCCTCCATCTTGGCTGGGTAGGCCCTAATGGGTCACAGTTCTGTGTCCTGCTTATTGACTTCAGATTGTAGTGTCAACTGAAGTCCTTATGTCCCCGTCAACGCCTTCTTGGACTATCCCTTAGACTCTCTAGGATAACAGTTTATCTTCTGTGTTAGTTGCACGGTAGGGAATGGAAGTTTACCCTCCCGGGCTGGTTGTACTGAGGCTAGCTGCTTACTCTTCTGTGTACTCTGAGCAGATGTGTGGTAGCTCCCAGCCTTTCTCTCCAGGATCATCACCACCTTCCGGGTCCAATCCCCTCCTTCCTTGGTGAACTTTACCCCCCCTCAGCTCCACTCCAGGCCTCTCTGCCCCGTGGCACTAGCTGAAGGGGGCACAGTCCAGCTCCTCCACTCTTAGGATACTTCTCTGCCAGTTTTCAGAGTCAAAGCAAATGGGAATCTGGGTCAAGGTCAAGGTTCTACTTGGTTCTGCCCGAGTGAAGGGCTCTCCAGGCCAGAACCACCTTCATGGGGTAGCAAACACATGTTCTATGTTCTAGCCATATAGACCATTTGAAAATCCACCAGCACCACCTGTTTTCTTGCCTAACAAAACACCAGCTCTCCAAAATGGGCATGACTTTCCAGAAGCATGATAAGGAAAGGTATCATAGTCATGTTTCAGGATTTTGACCTGTCCTATTTCTTTCATGTTTCTAAAGGCAGTAGTGACACAAGTCATACCAGCAAATACTTTGGAAGCATTGACTCTTCAGAGAATAACCACAAAGCTAAGCTGCATGCAGACATGGAGGAGAGTGAGCATTTCATTAAGTACGTCCTGCAGGACCCCATCTGGCTACTGATGGCAGACACCGACGACAGTATCATGATGACCTACCAGCTGCCCTCCCGGTAACCACGGGGCCCTTTCCTAGGAGCCTGGGCAGGGAGAGGTTGAAGAGTTCCCAAAACAAGATCTCTAGACAGGCTGAGACACCCATCCAAAGGCCTGTCTTCCAGCCAGTGTGGCAGAGAGAGAGAGACAGAGAGAGAGAGAGAGAGACAGAGACAGAGAGAGACAGAGAGAGCATCTGATCGCCCAGTGAGTGAGCTGAGCCCCACACAATGGCCAGGACAGCTGGCGCTCTGGGGAGTTGCCTCCTGCGGGGTGCCAGGCTTGGCTTTTGTGACACCTGTGTGCTGGTGCCACCACTCAGGCTCTGTCGGGGGATAGGGTGCATCTGTCTGGAAGTTGAAGAAGGCAGGGTCAAGGTGGATGACCCTGGGTCTCTGTGTAGCCTTTGAGTCTGGGTTTGGTCTGTCCTGTGGTGCTGATATGGTTCCTGCCTGGGCAGAGCATCCCTGAAAAGGGGAGGCTGGGAGTGAGGAAGGCAGGATGGGAGTGTGGCCCTGAGAGAGCAGCTGGGCCTTGGAAGGAGGAGTAGGAGACCGGAGAGGGGTTCCAGAGCCCTTGCGGCCCAGGCCAGGGTTGGCCAGGGCTGGGGTGGCAGTGGGGGGTGGTGCTCCGGGTCATGCAGTTGGTAAGAGGAGGCCCAGGGAGGCATTTGCCACCCACAGATGCCTGGTTCCCATGTCCAGCTCAGAGTGAAACTGAAACCTTCACCCAGGTCGGTGGCACACACCTGTCATCCTAGCTACTCAATGAACCACCAAAAAGGTAGAAGTGAAGGTGTGGCTTGTGAGGTAGAGTGCCAGACTTGAGCAATAAAACTAAGGGACAACACCCAGGCTCTGAATTCAAAGCCTTAGTACCAACACAAGGCAGGAGGCGCGGGGAAGGAAGGGAAGGAAAAAGACTTGCTAGGGAGGTAAAGTTACATTAAACAAGGTAATTTATCTTAAATAAAAGCAAATTTGCATAAAGCAAAACCACTTAAGAGTACATTAAGAGTATTGAAAGTGTTCGTAGAAAATGCATGTTTTCTTTAAAAACAACAACAAAAAGAAACCTGCCAGCCATGTGACCCTCAACTGTGTCTGACTCTGTGAAGGGATCTCGAAACGGTCTTGAAGGAGGACCGAGAGAAGCTGAGGCTGCTGCAGGGGTCCCAGCCCCAGTTCACAGAAAGCCAGAGGCGGGAGCTGCTGGAGGTCCACCCATGGGTCCAGACGGGCAGCCTGCCCTCCGCCATCGACGTGACGGTAGGCCTGGACCACGCGGCCCCGACGGGCCACTGCACAGAGCTCTCTGCTGTCCTCACAGCTTCTCCAGCAGCTAACACATCCAGAGTTAAAAGTTGTTTTTAGAAAAAGCAAAGGAGCTGTTTGTGGTAGGTTATGGCGTTCATCCCAGTACACTAAGGAGGTAGAGGCTGGAGGATCATGAGCTCGAGGCCAACCTGGGCTATATAGTGAGACCCCTTCTAAAAGGAAAAGAAAAGAAGCCGGGTGCCGGTGGCTCACGCCTATAATCCTAGCTACTCAGGAGGCTGAGATCTGAGGATTGTGGTTCAAAGCCAGCCTGGGTAGGAAAGTCCATGAGACTCTTATCTCCAATAAACCACTAGAAAACTGGAAGTGGCACTGTGGCTCAAACGCTAGAGCGCTCGCCTTGAGCTGAAGAGTGCAGGGACAGCGCCCAGGCCCAGAGTTCAAGCCCAACAACAGACAAAAAAAAAAAAAAAAGGAAAAGAAAAGGAAGAGAGAAACAGATTCTGAGATCCTGGTAAATCTTTGAGGAAGGCCTTTCTAATGGCTACCTAATTTTTTTTTTTTTTTTTGTCCAGTCCTAGAGCTTGAGCTCAGAGCCTGGGTGCTGTCCCTGAGCTTCTTTGGCTCAAGGCTGGCACCCACCACTTGAGCCACAGCGCCATTACCGGCTTTTTCTGTGTATATGGTACTGAGGAATCGAACCCAGGGCTTCATGCATGCTAGGCCAGCACTCTGCCACTAAGCCACCTTCGCAGTCCATGGCTACCTTATCTTTATGGTCTGCTAAAAGTTGTTTATTTTTCCACTTTCTCCAATTGTGTTTTCTACTTAGCCAAACAAAACACTTCTCATGTCATAAACCTGAATTCTCCCTTCAGGGGTCCCTGGCTCTGAGAATTTCAAGCCCAGTGAGCTTGTGCACATGTGTATGTGGGCGCATGCCCATTAGCGGCCCTGCCCCGCATGCAGGGGTGGTGCACATGTGTATATGGGCGCATGCCCATTAGCGGCCCTGCCCCGCATGCAGGGGTGGTACACATGTATATATGGATGCATGCCCATTAGCGGCCCTGCCCCGCATGCAGGGGTGGTGCACATGTGTATATGGGCGCATGCCCATTAGCGGCCCTGCCCCGCATGCAGGGGTGGTACACATGTATATATGGATGCATGCCCATCAGTGGCCCTGCCCCGCATGCGGGGTGGTGCACATGTGTATGTGGGCGCATGCCCATCAGCAGCCCTGCCCTGCATGCAGGGGTGGTGCACATGTGTATATGGGCACATGCCCATCAGCAGCCCTGCCCCGCATGCGGGGTGGTGCACATGTGTATATGGGCACATGCCCATCAGCAGCCCTGCCCCGCATGCGGGGTGGTGCACATGTGTATATGGGCGCATGCCCATCAGCAGCCCTGCCCCGCATGCAGGGGTGGTACGCATGTGTATATGGGCACATGCCCATCAGCAGCCCTGCCCCACATGCGGGGTGGTGCACATGTGTATATGGGCGCATGCCCATCAGCAGCCCTGCCCTGCATGCAGGGGTGGTGCACAAGTGTATGTGGGCACATGCCCATCAGCAGCTCTGCCCTGCATGCGGGGTGGTGCACATGTGTATATGGGCACATGCCCATCAGTGGCCATGCCCCGTGCCCTGCATGCAGGGGTGGTGCACAAGTGTATGTGGGCACATGCCCATCAGCAGCTCTGCCCTGCATGCAGGGGTGGTGCACATGTGTATATGGGCACATGCCCATCAGTGGCCATGCCCCGCATGCGGGGTGGTGCACATGTGTATGTGGGCACATGCCCATCAGCAGCTCTGCCCTGCATGCGGGGTGGTGCACATGTGTATATGGGCACATACCCATCAGTGGCCATGCCCTGCATGCAGGGTGGGCCCCTCTGGTGTTTCCCACCCCAGCACAGCAGTGCTATCCTCTCCAGTGCTCCACCTGCTGCCCCTTCCCTGGGTGCTGGGTTTCTCCTCTGACTTCCTGCCCTCAGCCTAATGCCACCCCCTTTCTGAGACCAGGTCTCGCCTAGGTAGGGAAGCTGGTTTTTTGCTGAGGGCTCTTTGGATGTTTATAACATTGTTCATAGACCACCCATATAAGATGCTCACTACAGGGAAGTGTGGGCCGCCAGTAAACAACCCAAGTGTCTGTCCTGCTATGTCCCGAATGATGTTGCCAGGTTATACAGCCACAAATCTTCTTCTTTTTTTTTTTTTTTGTGGGTTGTGGGGCCTAAACTCTGGGCCTGGGCGCTATCCCTCAGCTTTTCAGCTCAAGGTGAGCCCTCTACCACTTGAGTCAAAGCGCCACTTCCAGCTTTTTTCTGCTTATGTGGTGCTGAGGAATCGAACCCACAGCCTCATGCATGCAAGGCAAGCACTCTACCACTGAGCCACCTTCTTAGTCCCTATGAGACTCTTACCTCCAATGAACCACCAGAAAACTGGAAGAGATACTGTGGCTCAAGTGGTAGAGCTGAGGTTCAGCGCCCAGGCCCAGAGTTCAGGCCTCATGACCCACAATAAAAATAAAAAAGAGGCTTGTGGCTGTATAACTTGGCAAAATCATTCGGGACATAGCAGGACAGACACTTGGGCTGTTTACTGGCGGCCCACACTTCCCTGTAGTGAGCATCTTATATGGGTGGCCTGTGGATGATGTTATAAACATACAAAGAGCCCTAGGCAAAAAAACAGCTTCCCTACGTAGGCGAGACCTGGTCTCAGAAGTCGCACAGTTCCTAAGTCCAGCCACACCTACAAGCTGGGAATGAGGGAAGAATGACCAAGATACCGGCGGTGGCACAGCCCCTGGCCATTGAAAACCAGCCCTCCCTGGAGGTGCCACCCTGTCCTCAGCAGCACCAGGCCAGGCTTCTGACAGGGGCCTGGAGAGGATCCGCCTCTCGCCAGCAGAGTGCGGGTGGACAGCGGACCCCGTCACCAGGGCTTGCTTGGTCTGAACCACAGCCTCTCAGATCTCAGTGACCCTGCTTCTAACGATGGCGCCTCTCTTGTTTTGAAGGAATGCGTGTACTGTGAAAGCGAAGAGAGAGACAACGCTTGCGTGCCATACGAGGAAGGCATTTCTTCCCTGGGACTCAGCGACATGTCAGACACCAAAGAGGAGGAAAGCCGTGGCCCCCTGAGTCCCAGGAAGGAAGAGCAGACATAACCCCACCCGACAGGCAGTGATCTACATTAGATGGTGCTTGGAAGAGAAAAGATCTTCATATTTGTTTCTAATGAAATGAACATATATATTTATGTTGCCTTTTTTGTTTTAGAAAAAATCATCCTAGTCTCCTGAGGGGTGACTTACATATGGTAGATAAGGGAGGTGATGGAGAAATACGTTTTTTGTATTTTAAACACAGTTTGTAGAATGGGGTAGATTGGGGTTTTGAACTTGAGGAGGATGGCAGCCTCTGCCGGGAAGTCGCCCTCCACGGTCCCTTGACTTGGACAAGACCTCTGTTCAAGGCACCAGCGTGCATTGGCCTTTGGTTGTCCTGAGATGCCGTACCTGGCTGTGACAAATAGCCAGGAAGCCATGTGTGGCTCTGCATGGGGCCTCCACCTTTCCAGAGCTTTTCCAGGGTGTGCTCAGATCAGCTCTCCTGGGGACTGCTTTCCATCTACAGGATCGCTTAGTTCAGTAGCTGTGCGATTCCACACACAGAGAAGCCTAGCTCAGTTTCCTTTTGAAGCATTTTGTATTAAGTGGTGTGAAGCAACATTGGCCGCTTTGGCTTAGGGTACTGTGGCGGCAAACATTTCAATCTGGCCTGTCTTTTGTTTGTAGTAAATTGAGTTGAATGCCACTCGCTCGGGACTCACAGAACCTCTCGGGTTTTGTGACTAACGCCATCTGACTGATGCCTACCAGACACTTTGTCTATTTCTACGTCATTCTGGAATTCTTGACCACTGTGGCCAATTGTAGAGAGAACGATGTTCTCCATCCTGTCGTCCATTCCCACGGCGTCCTCCCAGCCAGCACCGTGTCCTCCTGGTCAGCACACTGGGCTGGCGCTGCGCTGGTCCCGGTGCATTTTTGTTTGGAGCCTCCCAGTTACCAGCTCCCATCCAGAGCTGACAGGTCCCCACTTGAGGGATGGAGGGAGCTCAGCTTTCCCTGAAGCACCTGTGACGAGTCCTCAGCCTCTGGCTGACATTCACCTGTGTTGCTGGAACTTTCAGAGCAGAAATGCCGCGGGCCTGGGGGAGACGGAGCCAGCTGGTCCTTAGAAAATCGCTAGCTGCGCCAGAAACCCAAAGACGGGAAATGTTCAGAATGGGCACCTGGCATGAATGAGAGTCCTTACTGATAAACCAGCTGGCTTAAAATGGGTCCAGGCTGTGGGAAGCCGGCCTGTCCTTCTTTGACAGAGAAGCAGCTATGAGAAAGGGGTCTCTTGGTTCTGCATTGGTTTTCACAGAAAACTGTCTTATGCCTGAATGCTAGTCCTATTTTTCTCAGACACAAAGTCCTTTAAAAAAATTGTACGAAGTCAGATCGTGTTTGGATGCCCAAGATAAGGAAGTAGCCCGTTTTATGACAATTAAGATCTTAATGGGTAGATGAAGGCCTGAGGGTACACTTCCATTACCTATACACAAAACTGCCACAAACATTCTCTCTACTGTTATGAATGTCTGCTGCCAGCGATATCTCATTGTTTAATATGTGCTAAGAAACTGACTTTCTAGGATAATCTTGTGAATCTGTTTACATGCTGCCAGCATCCTGACCTATTCTTTAGTGTGTGTGCTTACACGGGTGTCATGGAGCTTTCTCTCTATTTTAAACTGAGCCTTCTTTTTTAATCTATTCCTGAGAAGATATGTAAATAAGCTCTCAGAGTTTATGTGGTGATTTGCTGAGCCTTGCCGGACAAGTGGTTTGTTCCTGAGCAAACCAAATTTCTTCACTCAGTGCAATATATTTGTGTGACCGCTTGTGTCTTTTTATGACTTTTTTGCCTTTTAGAAAATGGATAAATAAAGCAGGTATATTTTTTATTTTCCATTGTATGTTCTGTTTCCTGGGGCCCTGCACCCGGCACCCTGCCAGAGCTAACCTCTACCCCTGTACATCTTCCTAACAGGACACACCAAAAGCTGGAAAGAGATGAGATTATCAAAGGATTATTATTTTCTTACAGAACCCTAAAAATTCTCTTGTACAATTTCCTTTTTGTTCTTTGGTGTGTGTGTGTGTGTGTGTGCGTGTGTGTGTGACGGGGGCCCCTGGCCTGGTTTATAACAGCCCACAGGACTGAACTCTGCAATGCAGCTCCAGCCATGCATGCTTTTCATTTTTCATGCAGTCTTTTCACTTGCAAATGCAGAGTTGGGGCTGCTTGGCTCCTCCCAGACCCTTTCCCCCACTCCCCTGATCCAAGCGCCCATCTCTGTCGTCACCCCTGCCTGGGCTGGTCACAGGTTGGAAGGCAGAAGTCAGACAGCGCCAAGAACTTGTAACACTAGCTAGTCTGGAAGCTGAGATCTGAGGATCACCATTCAAAGCCAGCCCTCAGTCTCTTACTTCCAATTGAAAGACCAATAAAGACAGAAATGGAGCTGTGGCTCAAGTGGTAGAGCACTAGCCTTCAGCAAAAAAAAAGCTCAGGGATGGGCTGGGAAGGTGGCTCAGTGGTAGAGCGCTTGCCTTGCATGCCTGAGGCCCTGGGTTCGATTCCTCAGCACCACATAAGCAAAAAGAAAAAAGCCGGAAGTGGCGCTGTGGCTCAAGTGGTAGAGCACTAGCCTTGAGCTGAAGAGCTGAGGGACAGTGCCCAGGCCCAGAGTTCAGGCAGCTGAGGGACAGTGCCCAGGCCCAGAGTTCAGGCCCCAGGACCGGACCCAAAAAAAAAAAAATCAGGGAGGGCCTGGGAAGGTGGCTCAGTGGTACAGCGCTTGCCTTGCATGCCTGAGGCCCTGGGTTTGATTCCTCAGTACCACATAAGCAGAAAAAGCTGGAAGTGGTGCTGTGGCTAGCCTTGAGCTAAAGAGCTGAGGGACAGCGCCCAGGCCTAGAGTTCAGGCCCCATGACCGGACCCCCCCCCAAAAAAAGCTCAGGGACAGTGCCCAGGCCCAGAGTTCAAGCCCCAGGACCTGCAGAAAGGGGGATGGGAGGGGGGGTTATGTCCACTCTGGAGACAAGACAAGACAAGCACACACGAGTCTTAGGAGACCTGCCTTCTACCTGGAGAGGTCCACTCCCCTTCCCTCCCACTTTCCGAAGCAGGGCCCGAGAAACTGGACTAGAGAAAGGGATGAAGGGAGGCTAGGCCCAATGCCCCGCCTCCAGGGAGCTGTGCAGACTAGCTGCTGAAGAGAGGAGGATCTGAGGTAGAATTCTGGCCAGTGTGGCAGCTCCAGCCAACTTCTGGGTACCTTTGGGGGACCCTGGTATTTTTCTTTATAACCCCAAGAGTATCTCCTCTGCCTTATCTCCAAACCAAAAGGAGATTCTCCAGGCTCCCTGGGCAGATTGCCCACAAGGGGCCTGGATGTCTGCAGGCTGGCTACCGCCTTTGTTTCCTTGGGGATTTATGGCCTTCCACTCCTGCTAACAGGTCCCCTGTGGCCATTCTGGCCCAGTCTCCTGGGCTCTGTTGCTGTCTGGGGGAGGGGGGGTGCTGGGGGAAGAGTCAAAGGTCCCAAATGCTCAGGAAGTCTGTGCCCAGACAATGCCCTCATTTTCAAGGAGCAAATGGCAGGAAGTGAGTAGGCTAAGAGAGGTGGAAAGGAGAAAGGGAGGGCTTGGTCCCAACATGGGGAAACCAGGCTTTCTGGACCCAAAGTCTAAGCCACCAATATGACCTGTAAAGCCACTAAAGGACGCTGAGTGTGCAGATGGCATCTCAGGCAACTTTCATGGAGTCTGTTTGTGTGAGAAAGGATTTTTTGGTCCACACCTGCTCTATGCCCATGCTTTTTCCTCTCAGCCGTACCATGTTCCGCAGGCACATTCCATAGCAGTTTCTTTTTCCTTCAATGCTAGGTAGTATTGAGCACCCCACCCCACCGGACCTGGCCCTGGATCACTGTGTCCCACAAGTCTTTTGAGGTCCCTCACCCTTGTTTCAGCAAAACTTCCTCTCCCAATTCCTGTTGTCTGGGTGTTTGTAGAATCAGCTTTACATGGTGTTCTGTAACGTTCCCTACCTTCTCTATGGATGGATGCTAAAGTTCGAAACTCAGTATTCACTATTAGGTTCTGAGACAAACATAGAGTGCTCACTATACATTTGGGAAGGTACCTCCTTTTCCTGGAGTTCTTCCTTGCAGCGATGGTCCCTGAAAAGCCCCTCTTTCCCACCCTCCCACCAGCTATTTCTCCAGGCTTCCCCGGGACCCTCATCTTGCTGCACTGAGACAATTGCTTGTCACCAAGGGCACTGTGGGCCATGTGTGGCCTCGTCCACGGTGGGCAGTGGATCACCAAGGGCACTGTGG